GGGAGAGAAACTAAAATTACTTAGGAAGAAGCATGGGGAAGGGAAGAAATCCGGTCCAACTGTGTTACAAATATTTCAGGTTATTAAAGTTGTTGGGAGCAGTCCTGAAAAAAGATGGGGAGAAAAAAGTTGGGCAATTAAAATATTCTAGTCAGCATTGTACACTAATGAAAAATGCCGTACTAGGTGGGTTGCAAACACTAAAATGATAGATGTGACTTTCAATTGAGTTTGAATTTTGTATGACAACATTATTTGCGTGAAAGTTTGTTGTTTTAAGTAAAGCCTAACTATCGAACTAGCTTTTTAGTTTTAGTGAAGCAGTTGGTCATAAATAAACAAAAATGTCGCCCAAAGTCATGTTCATATTCCAGTCTTTAGATGAAGTCTTCTCAAAAATAAAGTGCTATAAAAGAAGAACGGTTGAAATAGTAGGCACTGTGGAGAAGTTTCAGGAATACAAGGGAAACTGAGTGAAAAAGGCTGTAAAAAAAAATTCCTAACTTTTATCAGAGGTGCATTTAGTTTAATAGATGAAGTACCATAGGCAGACAGTGGTTTAGCATAGAGATGTTGTGAGTTTTCCATACAGAAAAGATAGCTCTTTGCTGATGTACTGCTGGAGTACTTCAACCTCAAGCCTCTGATTTAAAAACCTTATATATGGGCACACAATTAGTACTGCTTATAGTGTGAATGACCTGCTTGCACTGATGAATGAGGAGGGGAGGGGGTGCTTTTGGCAGCACTCTGTGATTTCTGAAATGTCAGTTGGTGTGGCAGGACTGTTTATCTTATCCACTGTAAATTTACACATTTGTTCTAACTTTGCAGCTTGACTTGGGGTGGGGTTGTCCCACTGCCTGAGTGGGTCCTGAAAGACTTGTCTTGTTCTTGTTTGCAGTTCAACGAAATGTAGCAGGTGCTGCTATTTCCAGCTCTGGCCTTCAGGTGCTGTAGTTTCTTACCCAGCAGGTAGCTGGGAGATACTTTCCCTCCTGTCTCCCCCTGTTGGGTGCCCAGCCGTCACTGAGCTATGGAGGGAAGGAGGGGAGGCAGCAGGGTATCAAATGAGTGAATAAAATAAGGCAAAGGCTGACAGCCATAACAGGCAGAATCTTTTTCAACTTTGGTGTAGCCTTGTCCTCAGACTGCCCTTTTATATCCTTTTGAAGGGATTTGAGAGTCTTAATGTTGAAATCAGCTATATACAACTCTGTGCCACTGAAATGTATAGAATTTGGACTTCAGCTTTACCGTATTTTACACACAGAAATACTGCCTGACGGGTTAAAGGTGGCAGCTATTTATAATTGCCTAGAGAATAATGAAGCTTGTTTAAAAAGAAACAAATAAATAATCAACTCTTAATAGTTGTTCTATTTGAGACTTTTTGTGATGGGTACGTTTGTTTTGTAAGCATCTTGGTTCTGTAACAAGAATTACAATAGAAAACAGAAGATTATATAATAGAGGATTAAAAATACTATGGTAGGGTTATTACAGTTTTAATTGAAAATAGTGAGACATCTAATTGATTCTGAAATTGATCAGATAATGCTCAGCTCTTGTATTTCAGCAGTGAATCATGATCATAGGTTACAAACGATTTTAACCATTAGGGCAGAGAGAAAAGGTGCCATTCAAAGCTAAACACCACAATTAGGGATGCATGACTAAAGTTTCAAAGTAATGTATTAGTAGTATTGTATGAGACAGTCACATGAAAAAGATCATGAGGTGGTGAAAAGGATTATGATCATGCTTTAGTCATGAATTTCCTGGTAGAGATATTTTAGTCTGGATCGTGCTTGTTTAAATGAGAATAATTTGACTGTGCTTGTTCTGGTTATATTACCATTATGTGCAAAGGGGGAAAAAAGGTGTTTTACCTACAAAAGTAGTATCCTTTGAGTAACTGAATTTTACTTAAACTTGAGATGCTGTTTTCAGGACTGAGAAAATGAAGTTAGAGAGATACTGAACGATTTGCTAGAGCATTACAGTGTACTGCATGTACTTACCTGCTGCTGCCGTCTCCTGTGCAAGCGTATTTAAGTTCGTCTTTCTCCCAGGGCTTTCATTTGTCTTGCATGTACCTTAACTGCTTATTCCAGATCCTGAACCTGCTCTTCACATTAAGTAACCTTCAACATTGTAAATCCTCAGTTGATGAAAATCAGCATATTCCTATAGAAACGTGGAGCTCTGTTGATCTGTCACCAGCCATACTCCTGATCCAGTACCTTTACTTACTGCCAGAATGTTTCTGCTTCCTGGGATGATGTAAGTCACAGAGGCCAGGTTCTCAGCCTGTGTGAGAAAGAGCGTATGTTCTTTATTTAAAGGTTACGGAATGAGTTTCCAGACATCATACAATCGGTCTGAGGGTTGACTCAGTCCAGTGACTCTTGGATAAAGATTTGCAAACTGTTTCTTTCTACTCCACCAGTAACAACTCTGTACTTACCTGTTTCCTCAAAGGGGGATGGAAAAAGCTTCTGGAAGGTGCTTTGAGATGATTTTAATGTTTCAGTACTAATCCCAGCAATATATTTATAAGAACATTCATTAAGAGTGCCTTAAATAGAGTCTGTGAGTGAAAAAGACTATATTAAAATAGTATTTTGGTAGCTTTTGGGGATGAACTCATTGCACTAAATGACTTGAAAACGTTTTGTCACAGGCCTTAAGTCAGTAACTGGAATGTAGGTGTTTGAGCTGGAGACAAACTGCGGTCATTCCAGACTGCTGATTGAACAATTGTTTATCAAAACAAAACAGCAGCTACCCATTGACCTGTCTGATGTCCCTGGAATCAATTTTGAGGCAAATGCCTCCATTTGACAGATACTCTTCTGATCTTACGTTTGTAACTGCGTTAGCATTCCAAAAGAGAATTCTGCTTTTTTAAAATCTTGCAAGCATTTGAGGCTCCAGTGAAAAGTGATTTTTCATCTTTTGTATTTGTAGAGGTTAACAGGAAAAACTGTTTCCCCAGTCTTCTGTGTTAATTCATTTATTTGCTATGTAAGGTCATTTAAAGGTAGCCCTTTCCTTTTTTAACTCCAATTGCTTTTCTCTGTCAACCTGTTGCAAGTATAGGAGCTTCCAAGAGTTGGGTTTTTTTTTTTTTTTGGTGCAATGATGTGGTCACAAGTGCTTAAGCACAAAACATCAAGCTAATATTTTAGGAAATTAAAATGGACTTTAAACATTTGTGGTTTGCTGCAAAGTACATTCCTGGCCTATTTCACGAAGCATGTTTTAGTTAGCAGCTGGGATGGGCTTGAGAAGGACAACTCAACTTACCGTTTCTTGTCTGAAAGTCAGTAGCGTTTTAGGATGATTTGACCAGGTTCACTTGCATCTTTGTGACTGTAGGGTCAGTCACAGCTCTAGTCAAGGTGCACATAAGGAACTAAAACTGCTTTCAGTGTACAAAGAGATGAAAGCATAATTGACCTATTTTCCTGTTACTTTACATCCTTGCATTTGCTGCAGGGTTTTGGTAGCATCTGAGTATACAGAGAGCAGGGCCGATGGGGCTCTGCCTTTACCCTTTCTCTCAGCTCTTATTTCCTTCTCAGTCATATTCTATATTTAGCTAGTTATGTGTAAAAAGCCCTACTTCTGTACTTGTTTCCTCCTTCTACCTTAGTCAGCTCTGTTAAACTGTTCAAAATAGTCATTCAGCTGTTCAGATCGATTGAGAAGCTCCGAGCTGCTTTTCCTTTTTGTTGTCCACTCCTTTGCTGATAGGATGGCCTGATTATCTACTACATGTATCTGGCAGAACTGTTGTAAATGTTACACATTTTATTTGGCTTGGTACCGAGCAGAACAAACTAAGTTTTGCCAGAAAACGCTGGCAGTGTTTAAATGATTGGGGGTTTTTAAACATGTATTTTAGAGGTTATTCTCTACCCGAAATAATTCTCTAGAAAACAGAAGTCATAAAGTACATTTCTTGGTTTAGCTTTCTAGTTTGATAACATTTTTACATAAACTTGGATTTTTTTTTTCTTAAAAGTTTCTGTTATAATAATTGTTCCAGTTTTACAAATATTTTTGTTAGCAGGTGTAAACGAAGTAAAGCTGTCATGTTTTGTAAAATAGTGAATTGTTTTCAACTCTGAACACAATATAGACTTCTGCAGTGTCCTCTTCATTACCTGATGTTGAATAGTAGGTTTCTTATACTTAATACTAAATTTAAAACCACATTGGGCAGATGATATAATTCCTAAAAATCGGTACTAAATACTTAGAGCTAGACTGTCAGCATTAACGGTATTTCTTGAGTTGCATAAACAGATGTTTTCCATATAACCTTCCTTTTAAATTAACGTCCACATAGATCTTTGAAATCAGTAAACTCGTGTAAGTATAAACTACTAAAAATACAAACATTTAAGCGACCCATTGAAGTTGGTTAATGACAACTTATTTTTAAATGACTAATTTCCAATCAAAATAGGGAGTTGTGCAGTGTATGTGTTTAGTGGAGGTACTTTAGCAGCACGTAAGAGCACGTTATGTGTATCCGACTGTATTATCTGTCATCCCCATAAATAAGAAAATACAGTACTGTTGTTTCTAAATCATTATTATTCTTTTGGAACTTGTGTTTTAACAGGATTTTCAATGTTATAGGTTATCATAAGCATAGATGCCTCTGAAAATATACACAAAAAATGTTCTGTTATGCCTGTAAATGCTGATCGTTTTCTTGTAACTGCCTCCAGTAAGCACAGTACGTAGGCCTGCATCTCTAAAATACACAGAGCCTATGTTACTGTTGGATAAGAAAAGTACACTAATACAGTTTCTGCATTAAAAATACTGCAGTTGTTATTCTGTTAATGCAAATATCTAAAAAGATTTATGAGTCATTCGCTTGGTACAAATAAGAACCAGACTGATACTCATGTAGTACAAATGTTGAGACTGCTTTTATACCTAAGTGCTTCCCCTTGTGTTTCTTGTAGGAAACAGAGATGAAGGTACACATGCACACAAAATTTTGCATCATTTGTTTGCTGACATTTATCTTTCATCAGTGCAATCATTGCCATGCAGATGGACATGACCATGTGCACTACCATAATGACTATCAGATCTCAAATGCATCCTACTTCCAGAATGGAGGAACAGAATCTATGCCGAGTAAATTTTCAACGTTGGAAGCTGAAAATGAACAAAAATACTACATTGAAAAGATTTTTGATCGTTATGGTGAAAATGGAAGATTGTCCTTTTTTGGCCTGGAAAAACTGTTAATAAGCCTTGGTTTAGGAGAGGTAAAAGTAGTGATGATAAATCATGATGATATTGGTCATGACCATGTTTCTCACTTATATGCTTTAGAAGTACAGGAAGGAAAGCATTCTCACTCTCATAACCATCCTCGTAGCCACTTGGATTCAGAAAACCAAACCATGATTGGTGTGGGTGCAAAAAGAAGTCATAAATGTGACCCTGAGAGAGATGCAGTAGTGCCATCAGTAAAAGATGATGGCAAACATGTTCATGACCAGAGTCGCCATCACCATCATCACCACCCTCGTCTGCATCATCATGACCATAATGGTACACATCATTCTCGTAATGATTCGGTTAGTCACAGTGAACATGGAGAACAGAATCATGAACCTTCAACAGAGACAAACACAACTCAGGATCAGCCAGAAAGAAAACAACGGAAACAGAAGAAGAAGCAAAAGAAGATCAGTGAGACTTCAGGAGATGCTACAGATCATGATCCAGGTGATCAGTATGAGCACAATCGTGTTCATAAACCTGATCACATACATGATGCATCTCACTTGCATGTACACCATCATGAACACAGTAGTGATCGTTCTACTGGTCATGGACATCAAGATTCCAGTTTAGGTAATGAGAATGGACACCACCATACCAGCAAGCGAGAGGCTCATAAGCAGATTAATGTAAGAAAACATGCTCTTTTTTCAACACGTAGTCATAAGGATCATAATGAAGATGAACGTGATCGTGAAGAGGTGAGTATGAAATGGAGAACCGGTAAGTTGACTTTCACTGTTGTTAATAATTGAAAGTGCATACCCACAAATAATGCAGAAGTGCGTTTTCAACCGTTGCGTAATACAGGTAGCAGAGTGCAAACGCTAGAGGTCACTGCCGCAATTTTGGAGTTTACTTTATGGGTTTTCCTTTCTGTCTGCCCATTGCCCATCTTTTCTCAGAGATCTATCTTCTTGCCTGTTTGTCTGTGTAAAGGAGATTCTTAAAGCTTTCTGAGATGCTTTGCTTACAGGTAGGGTTTTTTCTTTCCCAGTATTCATGGATACTTCCACACACCTTTTTTGGACTTCTTTCTGAATCTAAGATCATGAACATTTTTGGAAACTGCACAGAGACTCTCTCCAAAAAGAAACACCTGCATCTTTTCAACATGCTTCTAATTTCTTTGTCCTAAGAGACTGTGAAGCAATGTAGATGTAGCTTCCATACTACTGTGCTCAGCATAAGCTCTTCCTTTTCTCCCTTCAGCATCCATAATTTCTGCCAGGACCGTAAATATACTTTCACTTCCCCCTTTCAGTTAACTACAGAAGTAGGACATTTTGATATCACGGTTTTAAAGTAGAAGTGAGGAGAGGAAAGGATGGGGTGAGTGCTGAGTTTGCGGTTTTAAACCAAATTAAAAAGTGAACTCCAAACACAGAAGGTTGGTAGGTAATGAGAAGTGTTAGAAAACGTATTTTGGATTTATGTTCTTCCACTCCTTTCCTGTTGCTCTTTCTTCATTGTGTATACTGTGTAATGGTAAAGAATATGGAAATTCATTTTCATTGACATTTATCAAAAATTATATACATGTTTGGAGACTGAGTTCATAGTGCAGATACTTTTACTATTTCTTTCCCCTCGTAAACCACTTAGATCAGCTTAGACATGTTTTAGCGCTGGTGGTATGTTGTGGGCCAGAGTTTCTACTTTCTGTTTGTGCTCTCAAATCATATGCTAAATTTTCCGCAACTGTAGTTTTTAGTAAAATAGTTGTTTTCATATTTCATTTGTTTGTACAATTTGCTTGCAGTGCTTAAATGTTACCCAGCTGCTACGGTACTATGGTCTGGAAACCAGCTCTCCAATATCTCCTGAATTGTTTATATACATGTGTCCTGCTTTGCTATACCAGATTGAGAGAAGGCTTTGTATTGTACATTATGATGAGCTTGAAGATTTTATGAAAAGTAAAAATGCATCAATTGAGAATAAAGATAAAACAGGTGCATCAGGTAGGTGTGTAACATCTAAAGTCCTCAATATCGTTTTGCATTGTAAATGTTAACTTCAAAGTTTGAAATGTCATACAACTTAGCGTTGACTGTAGTGTAAAGGAATGATTGAAATTTAACATATTAGAAGAAATTTGAGACAGCATGCTTAAGTCAGGAGACATGGCATTCTGTTTGGCAGTGTAATAGCTTCTCCTAAGTAACCATGGGTCAGGGAGGCATACCATTCTTTCTGGTACCTTTTTATCCTTTTTCATTATTTTTACTTTTTATTTTATGTTTGCTTATTTTTCTTTCTTTCTTTTTTTTTGTCTTCTGTTATTGAGGCCTAGCATCCTATCGTTGGGCCTATGGCCTGGGCATTTTGGCCTAGATTCTTTGCACATGTCTTTCGACGCTGGACTCTTGTGTAGTAGGAACATAGGCAAGAATCTTTGGAGACAGAAGGACCTCTAGGGATGAGCAGGTTCACCCACAGTTTGGATTATTTCCATCATTTAAAATATGTCTTTTTTTTTCTTAGTGTGACTGAGGTGGGACATATGTTTATCTCGAAGTTGGAAAGTTGCAGTGTTACTTTAGCACAAATTTTCTTAATAAATCTGACCTGGATCTATTCATTCAGGAATAGAGAACAGCACCTTCATCGCAGTTCATTCATTGGAAAATACAACTTCAGGTGTTACCATTTTTATGTTCTAGCAGTGATGCAAATTTGTAGAATTGACATCCAGAATTTTTTGTGAACTTAAGAAATATAAAGACTTAAGCAAGTTATAAAAGCATTTAAATTGCCATTTCTGACAACACTTCCCTTTTCTGACTTCCAATGTCTATTCTATACTACTCTCTTAAGCATAGAAGTATTCAATCAAAACCCTCTGTTGGCAGTTTTATTTTTTTGTGTGTGTGCCTTGAGTAAAAATCAGTAGCTTATTTTTCTTCTTGCCATAGTTCTAAGCTAAAAATATTTTTACTATTAAAGAAGTTACTTTAAGGGCAGCATCCATTGTGATTTCATAACTGAGTATACTTTTACAATATATGTTTACTACTGCTGTCTTCCATAAATTATAGTGGAACTACTGACAGATGTTTAGCTGTGATGAAATATTAAAAATCTAAAAAACCTTGGGTACAGTGTCCATCTTTTGAAAATAAAAATATTGGTAATTGTGAATAATTGATTAGTACATAGGTGTTTATTATCATTGTTACAAATAAAGCTTGAAGTAAGTACATTCTCATAGATGTTAATAACTGTTGGAAAGAATGCATTGCTGGTCATCTTTCTTAACAATGCTGGAGTCATTAAAAAAATTACTTGTTCTACATAACTCTCCTCTAGTGACACAGCTACTATCTTGTTAACTATTCTGTTATAAGATTGCTGTAAACCGAATACACTGTGTTTATATGGCAGCAGATTGTTTTGTGGGATAGTGTTACTGTAGTAAAAGTTGACCCCTGCCTTATTACCAAGAGGATTTCTAGACTAGCTCTAAGCATTTTCTGCCAATTAAATTGTTGAAACCATGTACAAAACTGTCAGGTTCCACATGCTTTGAACCAGTTTAATTAGAAAGTTTCTACAGATGAGTGCTTCTTTTTAAAAGAGTGCAGTTTCGTTCTCTGTAATGAGTAAGGCAGTTGATGAGTAACTCAGCTTGAAGACCTTTAACATTTTAAGAGACTTAATTTGCAAAATTAGTGAAACTTATTGTGAACATTTAATGTGTTTTATGACATCTGATATCTTGAGTATAAATAACACATTTGCCAGTTAATTGTAAAAAATTGGATTTTAACTTACGGATTTGGCTCTGAAAACAGTAACCTCTAAAGCAGGTCAGCTTGATTAGGTAGTGATAAATCATTCTTCATAATAATTTCCTGTATATTGTTGTATTAACTACAGTATAATTTTTCCTCCTTAAATAAGGCAGTGAATCACAAAATAACAAATCTTAACTGGTATATGGGGATTGTGGGAGGTGTAGGACAGGTGTCAGTCATAGAGTAACTTAACCTGCGGGTTGTAGGATTCTACTAAAAGGAAAATGTGTGGTTATCCAAGCTAATTTAAAAAGTTTTAGATAGAAATATTTGCCAAAGTTAGGAGGATGCAGACCTTTTTAAACACTAGCATTCCGTGGTTTTCTTTATTTTTAATTAAACTTTCAAAAATCCTTAATAGACCAGTGCTGCTTCTATTCATTGATACTAACCTGGAAGGTTCCCATTAGTTCTGATAGTGCGGTTTTCTAAAGCAAAGTAGTTTAATTAACTGATGACCAAAAGCTTATGAAGCTATGTACAAGCCAAGCTTCGTGTACAACTTCCTGTAATTTACAGGTAGGTCTGTAACATCTTCTAATAGAGGATTTTCAAGGGCTTATACATACAACCGAGCTTTCACAGTGTACCTGGTGGAAGAGTGTGGCATTGTTCTCATTGAGGGCTCCTAAACAACATCACTTAAAAGGAAAGGTACACCCTACTTATGAATCAAGCTAATAGAACTGATACAAATAAACTGTGAGCAATTTTTTTTTAAAGGTGGAGATCAGTTAGAACTGTTGTATCTGAAACTGTATTTCAGATCAAATATAACTGGTAAATCTGCTGGTGCAGATGCCAGTGTTCCCTAGAGCTCATGGTTCCCTGAACCCAGGAAGGCTTTGCTTCAGTGGAGCCTTCCTGTTAGCTTGCTTTCTTGTTAAAGTTTGCAAATAGTTAACCAGTCTCAGCCTTCCAAGGATCTACCTTACTACCCTTTTAGTCTGGTTTAATTTACAGATAGCTGTCCACATCTAGTGTGAGCAGCTGCCTGTTGTTTGCTACCCACTGTTTGAACAGAGGTCCCTTATTGAAGAAACTGTTTGGTTACCTCCCTCTTGTTTTTTTTCTACAGAAATATTTTATAAGTGAGTGCATAATAACTTCACCTCATTGACCAAGCTTTATATATTGTCCCTAGGAGTGCTATACACCAAGATCTTTTATAACTTAAGAGCTCTGGCAGTGTTTATAATATTGCATATTAGTTCCACTTCCATAATATTTTAGTGTTTTGAACACTATGGTTGAATGAAATTCTTCAATAAAATTTTATGTTGGAATTTTGTCGTAAGTCTTCCTTAGTAGTCCTTTTCATGTGAGCAATGTTTGTACGTATATGTAACTGTGGGGTCATGCACAGCTTTTCTATAGAATGTATTTTTTATCTTTGACGTGGCAGCAACCTTTTGCAGATAATTTTGGTTCCATACCATTTTTTAAGAGTTTAAACAGAGACCGAAGCTGATGACCAAGATCTGAGAGATGCTCAGATTCTGTATTCTACAGCCCATGTGCCTCATCTTAATCATGGTGCCATGTTTAGATACTGTATCATTCATAAGAGTATGTAAGCCCTTCAGAGATGCGTTTGCCAACTCTATGCTTTGATACATGAAACTTAAGCCAGTTTACATAATCTCCTTTCGATTTTTCTCCATCTAAGGCTGTTGGTCATCTAACCTGGCACTTAACATCACAATGTCTGTATCCAGATGGGAAATCCAATGTCCTGCCAAAAGGCTGTGTAACTTTTATTTGGGCTACTTGTGCATGCATGCATCTTTCAGTATTGAATTACAAGTCTATGTGTGCTGTTTCTTTCGGCAGAGCCTGTTAATCCAGAGTGCATGATCAAAGTGCTCTGGGGTTGAATCAAGGCTGTAGTGGCAGTATTTTATTTAGCAGGGTGTTGCTTCCACTCTAGGCCCACTTTTGTATTCCCATTTTCCAGCCTCTGTTTTTTTAGTTCCTCATCTGGTGGCAGTCTTTGCTTTTTCACCAACTCTGTTTTCTTCTCAGTATCAATATGTGTTTCAGTGTACGCTGCATACTTTCTAAAGCTTTTTCCAATCAGTTTCTCCTGGTGGCTGTGCTTTTGTACCCTTTGCATTTGAATTGGATTGTTTCCTTTTCTTCACTGTTGTGGAATGACAGCTACAGACTTCATAAGAATGAATATCGCAAAATAAAATGTAAAACAGCAGATGCTGTAAGTTTTGGTGTTGAACCAGACCAGACCTGCAGCAGCCACAATTCTCATGGCCAAGTCTTGTCAAATCTGATCTCTGTAGCATTTTTCGTACAGATAGAATTTTCGGGACATTTGACTGCTAAATTGTAAAATTAATTGAGCAGCTACAACATACTCATTCCTCCTCCCTTCTCTCCCCACCCCTCTCCCATTTCCCAGGATGTTTTCCACCACTTGATCAAAAATGAGTGGACATTCATAGATGTAAGGAAAGTCAGATCATGCACCAAAGTATGGAAATGCTGATGATTTTAACTCACGAGTTCTTAACTCTCAGTAAAGTTGTTAAACTGTATAGACATTTCTGATTAAGACTAAAGCTAGGGGGAAAAAAATGGAAAAACTTGAAGTATTCAGGCTAAAACTTAAAATAAATAAATAAAGTTCAGACTGAGGAAATCATGTTCGTGAAAGATCTCAGCCCAAACAGTTGATGTTTGTAAAATAGGAGCCCCAACTATTTCTGTCTTTGGGACTGTGAACCTTTTTAACTGTATTGTTGGAATTAAACAGTTTTCACTTACTGTTCTTTGAAGTTTCTGTGATGGGAAGAAACAAGAGAAGCAGAGAGAGGAAAAAAAACCCAACAGTTTTTAATTCTTAGCCTTACTGATGCCTTGAAAAACTAGAAAAAAAAAAAAAAATTTAGGGGGAGATACTGGCTGCAAGAGCCATGTTTCTTCGCTTACAGGATGTCTTTCTTGTGTAATTCCTCCTTTTCCATGTCATATAGAAATTTGCATCTTCCCTAATCAACAGGGTTATGTTGAGTGCACCCTATCCCATTATCACTTTTTCTTCTAATGACAACAGAGGTTCTCAGCAAAAATAGATGCTGCTTTTTGTTGGTGGAGGCAAGTTGCTTTCAGCTCTTCAAGCTCTTATGATAGCATGATTTTAAAGTTCCTCTGTCAAAGGTTCAATCTTCCTTTTCATAAATAAAAATGTTGTTTCAAAGCACCAGGTGAAATGAATGGTGCCTCACACAACATGTTACTCCTAACAAAGGAGCAGAAGTACTGATTCCAGTTAAATTTTGCATCAGAATTGCATTAAATGTTAAATACGAATTAGTGCTGGTAGAGCCTTAATAAGTTAAGTAGTGGAGATGTTTTTCTTCCAATATGAAATCTTTTGCTTTTTATGTTTTATTAAGGGCTACAGAGCTAAGCCTGGAACTTAGAACCAGGAAGAATTGCTGGGCTCTTTTTATCTGATTGTCTTCTGATGTCTTTCACTATGTTGTACTCCACTGTGAATAAGCCTGCCTTGGACTTCAGTACTGCCTTCATATTTTTCAGCACCTTTTGAATGAACAATCACAGAACTTAGGTTGAAGAAAGTCACCTTCTTACGAGATAGTTGAAAGTCATTAATCAGTCTTAAAAGTTTCACAAGTATTGTTCTGATAACCTTTCTGTATTCATTTCTTCCCACAGCCTGGTTTTGTGGTATCATCTCTATCACCGTCATTAGCCTGCTTTCCTTGCTAGGTGTGATCTTGATTCCCATCATTAACCAATGGTGCTTCAAATTTCTTCTAACTTTCTTGGTAGCTCTGGCTGTAGGAACAATGAGTGGAGATGCACTGCTCCATCTGTTGCCACATGTAAGTGTTGTTTCCTTACCTTTTATCATAGAATGCCAGCTTGGAAGGGACCTCAAGATTTTTCTTAATTGTAACTGAGCACAGAATTTTCAAAGAATTGGTTTACAGGTATCAACAAATAAATGTTCACTGATGCAGATGTAGATTGACTTGATTATGAGGGACACCCTGAAACAGTGTTTGAGACTTTCTGTTAACAAAAAGAAAGGAAATGTGTATTTCTTAAAAAAAAAAGAGGGGGGGGGGGTGAGAAAAACACGTAGTTGTGTATTCATAGTTTAAGGTCTGTCACAGTATTTTAAAACACTTAATGAGACCAACAAGAGTATTTTAAATTTAGCAGTATTACTGTCTCTTGTCTACTGATACTTGTATATCAGTACCACCTAAAAGTATTTCAGGGGGATTAACCTTCCTGGTTACTAGCTTTTGGGGAGAAAGTAACCTCTAACTGAATCAAGAAGTTGTCCAAGTTCCAGGGAAGGTAAGCAGTTTTTAATTTGGATGCTATACTGTAATTCTTAGAAGGGGAAGTGTTTTCTAAAATTCTATTACCTTAATTCTTTTAGCAAAAAGACTAATGTTTACATGTTTTCTTTGTGTAATTTTTAATATAAATTTTTGGTCTTTTTTTTTTTTTTGGAAAGTTTGTATTTCGGATCAGGATTAAGGTTGTAATTGACTGTAATAGATAAAAACACATTGTGAGGTTTGGTTGCTTGTGGGAGTTTAGGAATGGTAATTCCTTGTGACGTTTCTGAGTGTTAGTCTCATTATCTTTAGCTTTGTGACAGAAAAAAGCTGAAGCTTGATTATCTCCCACTGCCCCCCTAAAACTTCCCAGAGGAATATTTTTTTATTGATTAGGGTAATGAGTAGTCTAATGAAAAATTTCTATGGTAAAATGCGTTCGTATTAAAAACCAAACAAACAAAACCTCCACAAACAAAAAAAACCCACATCAAACCACAACTCAACTTTTAACTTCTTTTTATGCTACTTTTCTGGCAAGGTTACGTATTTTGTTATCTGATCTTGGAGCCATTTCAGTCTCCTGATTGCACCGGGTCATGCTGTGTTCTTATTTTCTGTCCTAATAGTCACATGGAGGCCACAACCACAGTCACCACCATAGCCAAGGTCATGTTCATGAGCACAGGCGTTCCCATCGACATGCCCACGGACATGGAGTACGGACTGAAGGGTTTTTAGAAGAAAATGATCCAGTGCTGAAAGGCCTTGTGGCACTTGGAGGCATTTATGTTTTGTTCATCATTGAACATTGTATAAGAATGTACAAGCATTACAATAAACAAAAGGTACGCACTAAGCTGCATGCTATTTTAAAATAATTTACCTGAAGTTGTCTTCCGAGTGTTGAGGAATTGTCTGTGTGATGATTCATTAGTCTGTGAACATGAACAAGTGCTGCTAATCTGCATTCTGCTTGATTTTATGTGAGGAAACTCTTTTCTAAAAGAGGTTGCTTTTCTTAACAAGGTAATTTGGGAAGACAGAGTAGAAATCTGATGGGGGAGGTACAACTTTTTGGCCAGATGTATTTGGAGGTAGATCTAAGTAAAAGAGATTACAGCTCTTTCTCTAAAGGACCGTGATTTTTTTCACAGAAATATGAAAGGTAGTGTGTAGGAAAGAACTGGTAATAGAGACAGACAATTGTCAGACAATTTAGAAGAAGTTTAACTGTATACTGTTAGCTAATGATGCCAGAGTAACAGAGGTATTCAGGTTTTCCACATACGAAAATGCTAAAATTTGCAGACCTCCTGCTTTCTATAAATTGCCAGTCAAAATTTGACTTGTTTCCCTGAAAACTACTGACTTTTTAGGGCTGGAGGCATGTTGTATTCGTGATGGTGGTATAAAAGGAGAGCGAGTACCTCCGTGAGAGTGTGACACCTTAGGGGAAGTTTGACAGTGGATAGGAATTCAAGCCACCAAAGAGCCGTATTCTTTCACCAGTACATAAATACACTTTTAACTTTTGCCTCCGTCATTCGACTTTGAGGAGAAAATTATTTTGGTGAAACTATAACTCCTTCTTCTAAAACAAGTGTGGAAAATTTTCAAGTTCTCTGTTTTCACGTCAGACTTGCTGCCTCAGCTGGACAGGCAGCAAAAGATTTTCTGTGTTGGAGGAGGCATTTCTTCGATCTTCTGATAAAGAGATAAAAAGAGGTAAAAGCTGTCACATTGGACATACCTTCTTTGAGACGAATTAAATAATTAAATACCGTAGGTTGCTTTGGCAAATGTATGATCTCTGTGGTATGGGCTGCAGGTAGGAAAGTAGCAAGCTTTTCTCTGAAGTAAAATACAAGGAAGTTATAGCAGTATAAAAAAATTAGTTGAAAATAGAGAAACTGTTCTTGCTGCATGGTTGCTTTCTTGAACCAAATAAGCAAATACAATAATGCATTCGTGTGTTTCTGGGCTGTTAGAGCAATCCTTGTAATAGTGTACCCTGTTACTGAAGTGAAATACCGTCTGTGTGTACGTGCGTGTGTTTGTGAGTGAGATAGATGCTGTGGTAGGTAGCAAAGAATTTCCACTGGGATAGATGTCATTGCTGAGCCTTAAAAAGATGAATATTCTGTAGTCACATACTTCTGTTAGACATATTAAGAGATAGTAACTTGGTCTGTTTTGAAGAGATTTTTTGACCACATTTCAGTTTCTTTTATTTCCATTGGTGTCCTTTTACAAGCCAGATGTTATCTGTTTCCTGCTGCAGAGTAAGCAGAAATGGTGCAAGAAAAAACAAACTGAAGAATCACCAATTGGAAGGAAACTTTCCGATCACAAATTAAATAATAGACCAGATGCTGACTGGCTTCAGCTCAAACCCCTTGCAGGTAGGCATTTATTTTCAGAATTTTCTCTGATCATGAGATTCAAAGTAATGGCATGTAACCTATGGCATGTAGCATGTACCCTCTTGTACAGTTTCCTGCTATTATGCAAATCATTGTTAATAAGACTTAATAGGCTTTCCTTATTAAATTTTTTTTTATTTTTCTTAGATCTGAGAGCACTCTGAACAATTCCTAATAAGCCATAGAAATGGTTCTCAGGCTTCTGAAGCAGTCAGGTTTTGGGTGGCTGTGGTTCTTTGGAGTTTTTTTAATTTGTTTGGTTTTCGGCTTTTTTTTGCTTAAGCCGTACCTGACTAGCTCAGCCCTGGCAAAAATTAGACGGAAAACACACACACACAACCTGAAAGGGGATATCTGTTTCACTTTGCAGATTCCAGCCTCTGACGAATTATAGTTTGGCTGAGAAGTCTAAATAAAATTAATTTCTTTTCATAAATACAACAGGAATGCCATATCACCCTTCTCAAAGGGGTGAGGGAAGGGGAAGGGCTTTGCTTCATAACCTTCCCTTTCTGTTGCCTGGATGGCTACTGAATTAATTTGTTGATGAAGAATCCATAGGCTATATTTATGCAAATGCAATTTTGTTAATTTGAATGGTTTGTAGAAGAGAGAGTTAGGACTGTAGCCTCCTCCACTCAAACAACTTAAAATGGGATTTGGGACATTGACACAGAACATAGAAAAACTTTTAGCTGTGAGGATGGTGCTACATATATTTGAAATGTCTTCATTTTCTTTGAATGTGCAGTCAGAGGAATTTTGCTTTCAATAACATGGAGTACGTACTGGTTTTATAAGACCGTTCCTCTGAAAGTGCACTCTTCTGATCGGTAAATCATTCACCAAATCTATGGGCACTGGAAGTTGAATTTTGGATTTTGAACTGCAGTGCCGCTGCCACTGACCCGAATGGCCATTCCATTTCTTTTTAAACAGCTTCCAGGTGCAGTTTAAGACCCTGTTTATCTAGAACCCTTTCTCTGCTCTGTGCCTCGTTTTTAAATTCCACTACTTGCTTATGTTTGACTCTGAAATATTTTTGTGAGCTAATAACTTCATTGTCCAGAACTGCTTTTTTCCCACAATCGGTGGGAGCATAGCTTGCCAGTTTCATTTATTTATTAATACTTTAGAAATACTAGTAGACTTAAAATTCACGCATATATGCCTTCTGCATTGTTTTCACTTTGTATTTCTTTGTAAAAACGGCTCTGATTGCTGGCAGGATAATGAGCTGCATTGAAGGAGCTCACGGTGTGACACAAGTGCCTGACACAAAGATGCACGCCATACAGAAACCCTTTAAAGTTCTATTGTATCAGTGGTGGATCCTGGTGTGCTTCAGGGAAGGCTAAGTTGTGACCTGTTCGGGCATGCACAGAGAGCAGCCAGTTAAGGTTTCCTGAGCAATTCGGAGTCCCTATACAGCATATAAGTCGTTATTGTTGTTCTCACAACTGTCCTTTTCCAATGTTGAACCCTAGGCTTCGTCAGTAGCAAAATTACAGATACAAGCGTAGGTTGGACTAAAACCGACAGTAGTTGCTGGTGATATTTTAAATAAGAATTAATGCAGTGTCTCTCCCAACTGGCTTCAACGTAGGAGCCGACGACTCAGTTTTATCTGAAGATCGACTCAATGAAACTGAACTGACTGATTTAGATGGCCAGCTGGAATCCCCTCCCAAAAACTTCTTGCCTGTAGAAGAGGACAACAATATGCACCGTTCTCACAATGATGTCTCACATGCTGCTCAAGAGCATGATCGTCATGATTCAGAGTATGACAGCCATGGCGAAGATAAAATGATAGCTAGAAAACACAGTCACCACTGGCATCACAAACATTCCCATCATTCCCACGGCCACTGTCATTCTGGAAAAGACCTGAAAGATACTGGGATAGCTAATATTGCTTGGATGGTAATTATGGGAGATGGCATTCACAACTTTAGTGATGGCTTAGCAATCGGTAAGCACAAGCACTGAGTATTTCTCAACAGTTTCTTCTTGCCTTTAGTAACTTTGGTAATATTTTATTTATCAGTGATCACAGGTAAGACTTCCAGTTAGCTCCTATGGTTACTGGCATTGTTTAACCCCCTTCAGAGCAGAAATTAAAAGGCCATCAGTAGTCTTCCCTTTGTTAACATTCCGTGAGTATTTCCACCAAGATTACTGTATGGATAGTAGTGACAGTAGCAATCTCTGCCACGTGAAGATAGTGCAGGCAAACCTCCTTACAAATTGTGGAGCACGTGTAATGCACGTTTGTTGTTTGGGTCTTAGTATTTGCCTTTGAATAATAAATAAGTGCCTTTCAGTCTTATTTATAATGATATTTATTTATAATAATATTATTATTTCTGATATTTTTAATACATAGAATTGTACCATACTGGTAAATAAGACATATACTATAAGTCAGGTTACTGAAATAATAATTTTTTAAAAGTACTACTTAGGATAATTAAATTTTTGTTTGAGCAAAGTATTGGTTTTGCTTATGGTCAGTGTAGGTTTATTTCTAGCCAAATGTAGAAGAAATTGAAGTACCAAACAGATTTTATTAGATTTATTAAATCAACTTTGATTCATAGAAACCTCTAAATGTGATTTGAACTGTAAAGCACTATGAGTCAAAATGATGGTGAGAGTACTGCAGTGCATGCTTTTGATTTTTTACTAAGGTAGTTTCTAAGAGGGTTCTGAACTACTAGCAGAAGGAACATACCCATTTTGAAGGATGGGGGATAAGCTGCTGCTTAGGCTCATGAGTTAACAGTGGAATCTACTACAGTTTCTCCACTATCTCCAAACAATTTCTAAAGAAACTAAACTCCATAAAAATTAACTTTTTGCTTCATTTTCACATTAAACAGGTAAGACATTTAGACAGTGGGCTTCTAAGGCCAAAAAGGATCACTGCACCATCTGTTGAGAACTTCACTGTATTGAAACTCCATTTCTAAATATTGCTGTGTCAAGCCCAAACAGCCAATTCTTTGGTGAAATGTGGATTTTAGAAAAGCGACTTCATCTTTTTAATATACCAAGTTATGAGGAATCCAGAGGAAAGTTAAATTTCCCCTCTGTCTTCAGATTCTGTCTTCTCTACGTTATTTTGCCTGTTTTGACTTCTCACTGCAGGCTCTTCTTGTGCCTTTCTCTGCTACAATACAGAAATTTAAACTAGTTTTCTTATCTCAGAATTATTTAAGGTATGAACTTAAAGTTGATTGAATTAAATTAGCTTACACAAAAGCTACTGAAAAGGTTTATGCCAATGTTTTTCTCCATATTATTTTCCACATCTGTCTTATTAATGTTGTTGATGTGGGCTCTATAAATAAACATAAAGGAAATAGAGAGGGTACAGGTTAAATATCAGTTTGGATTTCCAGCCTGGAAAGGAGAGCTAGACCATTGCTTGTGGGCATTCTTAACTGTCCTGGTGTACTTGAGAGCTCCTAAAAATGCGACAGCGGTGCTATTTATTAGCTTGTTGCCTTTATGTCTCTGTGTTGCTGAGTTGTGTTCTCCTCTCCCGGGATTTGTCTTTCAGGTAAACTGAGTAATAAAGTATGCAGCGTTAAGGCACATCAAGGATACTTTCAGTATTTTCAGTTTATATACAGACAAGACACAGACATAATGAAAAATGTTCATTCTGTAACAGAAGGGTGTCATCTCTGGAAAGGCTATTGATTAAATTTTCTGACTTGAAAATAGTAAAATATCATTTGAATTTTTTTTTTTCTCTCCTCCCTAGGAGCAGCTTTTAGTGCTGGACTGACAGGAGGAATTAGTACATCTATAGCAGTATTTTGTCATGAGCTTCCCCATGAATTAGGTAACTAACTCTATAAACATAATGTGTTTCATTCTCTTCATCTGTACAAAATGTTTATCTAAAAAGCTGCTGTGATACTTATCCTGATAAGCATAATGCAAGGCAGATGCTGCAGGGGTGACGAGAACTTCAGAGCATAATGGAGCGATATTGCTTCAGAGTACATAATGAGAACATTAATACAGGAGTACACTGGCAGGTACCTAGTTACAACAGTTCTGTGAAGCTTTTTGAACATGTTTTAAACGTGTTGTTAGGAGCACACAGTTTACATTTTGGTGTTGCACCTCTGCATTTTATAGAGTGTCACATACTCTGTGTGGCATTGTCTTACACAAAGTGAAGTTATGTAAATAAACTCAAGTTTGCGTAAGTAAAATCCTTTGTGGAGATCTGGAGAAGATGCTTTGTACCAATTGTTTCTGAGTCCACTAGGTGTGGAGGACGATTCAGGCTAAAGCCTGTAGGCGTTGTTGCCAGTGCCATTGATTGAAGCATTTCTTCTCAGGGTTAGCTAAGCATGATGAAACCCGTTGTTTTCCTGTGAGCCGTAAGGCACGTTGCATGAAATTTTAGTGCACCCGGAGACTTTCAAAAGAGCAGCCAGAGAGAGGAGGCGTTGTCTTTTTTTGCCAGTAACGTGAAATTGGCTAGGTTAAACTGTCTATGTACTCACAGCTTGCTGACTTGCTACTTCTGAATGATCAAAAGTAATGTAAAATAAGTACTTCAAAAACCCTTAGAGATGATGAATGAAAGCATTTTGTATAGGCAGATACTAAGTATAACGTAAGTAATGGGCACAGATAGGAGATAACAGAGCAGATGTTCGTGGTTTGACAATGGTGCTACACAATCATCAGGTAAGTGAAGCTTCTGCAGTATATAAAAGATTGCAATATATAGGTGTGCTCATAACTTGCTAGGTTAACACGACTAAAATAACCTGGTATAAGAAGCAAGCAGTTCACTGTACATATTTTCTTTTTGATTCTAGATTGAGCAATTAATTTCTAGCATATCTAACATGAGAATATTATATTAATTTACCCTCATGACTGCATATCATCTTCCACTCCTCATACAGTTTGAAGGGAGTAAAACTATCAGAGGTGATTACAAGACGAAAATTTAGATCTTTATAGAACATCTACCTCTATCAGCAAATTTAGCTGAGCTGCCCTCAATTGAAAATAAAACAGGTTAACCTGGCATGTCTTAAACCAGAAAACCTGATTCAACATAGGTGTAAAGTGATGCTTTCTGAATGTAAGTTTTCCTTTTCCTAGTGCTACATTTCTCAAATTCATTGTCGCCTTCTGTGGGGACTAATGCCTCATTATCCTCCTCTTGAATTTGCAGAACGAGGTGTATATAGCTAAGAGGAATTTTCACAGGTATTGATCAAAATTAAGCCTCTCTTATCTGCCATGAAGAACTTCTGTGAATTAAAGACAAGTCTGTGTGAACAGACGTATTCTCTGTGGGAGGACCAGATCTACACTCCTCCATTTATCTTTAACCATTAATCACTGTTACCTTTCTGACAGTCAGCATGATGTATAGGCAACTTTAAATCATATTTTAGTCAAGGGATTGCTGCACGTAAGAGAACTGTATTTAAGAGTTGTCACACCGTTGCCCAGTCTTTGAGCCTCTGAAGCGGCATCTTTACTTCAGCAATGCCTTGGATTGGTGAGATAGTAACTGTCGGCTAATTAATCTGCGTACTCTCCCGAGAAGCACTGATACTAAACCCTTGTTTTCTGTCTCCATTTTAGGTGACTTTGCTGTGCTTCTTAAAGCAGGTATGACGGTGAAGCAAGCTATTGTGTACAACCTCCTGTCTGCCATGATGGCTTACATAGGGATGCTGATAGGCACAGCGGTGGGACAGTATGCTAATAACATCACCCTGTGGATCTTTGCAGTCACTGCAGGCATGTTCCTCTATGTGGCATTGGTCGACATGGTAAGATTGTTATGATCCTGTGTCGTTTTTGCTTTCCACACATAAAACCTAGGACTTGAAATGGCAGCTGTGACAGAAATTTTTTTTGCTATAACACATAAAATATCTGTAGACAGTAGATGGCTGTTTCTGTTCTATGACTTTTTAAAATGTTGCAGATACCTTGAGAGATGTAATGAAGTTTTATAGTTGCTTGCCTGTTTGAGTTTCTGCTACCAAAGTCTACCGGTGACCCCTGTTAAAATATGAAAACTACAGGGGGGCTGAGAAAGACACTTGCATTTCCCACTATTAAAAATAATAACTTTGCACTAACAAAAATAGGATGATTCTCTGGTTTTGTGGATGAGACATTAGAGGCTGGAGTTCCATCCAGTATTTAGAATTGTTCTTCAATAACATTTAATATTCGTATATTTATTTCTGGAAATCTTAGTCTGAACTGTTAGCATGAGCAGCTGGTAATACGTAGCTCTTGTGGTGATTAGCTTCTCAAAAAATTATCTGTTGGAAAAATGCCACTCCTTCAAGAACATTTAGGTACGTTATATTTAGCACGTGCACGCCATAGATCCAGATCCTTCAGGCAGTAATCCACTTGTGCATAAGCCAATTTTCTCACTTCTTGTCTTTCCAAAGTCCAGTGATGATGAGATCAGTTTTCATTTTGGGGGCATTTTGTAATGCTCTTTCTGCTTTAATGTACAGAGAAAAAGATGTGTCACTTCCCTGGACTTCAAGGACAGATCTTCTATCATATTAAATTATTTATCAATTAGACTAGAAACTCCAACCTAGTTAAGCTTTAATTTGCAAGAGTTCAGACAGCTTTTTGTAGAGTGGCGCTCTGGATTTCCATTGCTTTATTCACAAACTACTTTTTCCTAGTACAGATAAAGCAGAGGCAAGCTTCCTCACCACTCTTGTTTCTCTCAAATACACTAAGTAGCTGGCTACCTATTATCAGTAGATTGCTACCTGGATCACCTGGTGTGGCTACATGCTGCTTACAGAAAAATACTTAAATGTAGCATGCATTCTGGCTTTGACTGATGTTCCAGTAGAGATTTTGTTTAACCTCATGGCATCTCCATTGCTGGTTGTGTTTACTGAAATGAGGACTAGCCTGTTTCACTTTTCAGTTGTGGGTAAAATGGAGTATTTTACTGTTCTGAAGTATTTTAAACCATGCAATTTCTTCAACTTCCCAAATTTCTTCAGGAATTTTGTTGCCATATCTGGTAGCTCTGTTAGCTTACACTGCTAGTTGTGCTCTTCTGCATACCTTTGTTGCTGACTGTTTTGCTTTCAAACCATATTTTTTAGAAGCTTCATCAATCGTTAACTGGTGCAGGAGTGAAAGATGTGATGTTTGACTCCCACTGGCTGATTTGGCAAAGCAGGCAGGCATCTGTCAGTTACTTTAAGCCACAGACACAGACTTTGGGTTTCAGCAATTCTCATTGAAACAGCATCGCGTCTTTGTCAGATCACTGTCTATGAGGCTGTCAGTGTGGTGTGGGCTGATTGTATCATTTCCCTGCTGCTAACTAAAGCAGCTGACATTATGAAGATCCTTCTCCCTTCTGCTGCTGTGGCAAATAGTTGCCAGTTCCTAGCCGTGGCTGCTCAGTCTGGTTTCTCAGCCTCAGTGGTATCATTGAATCATTAGTGAAGACTACTGAAAGCAAGGGTTCAGTTTCTGATTAATTTCCTGGTAGAGGCAGAAACTGTCTTGGCCGTTCTGCTCTCTGGCAGATTTACCTCTGCAGTTAGTTCTGTGTTCAGCACTGCTGCCATGTTGGTCCTTAATAAATTTGGTGTTAGTGGGGCTTCCTGCTTGCTTCTAGGTGGCATCCTCCACGTCTGAGAACCTGCTCTTAAACTCAGATTTGGTTCTGAAAATCCCATGTTAGTCCCATTAGTAGTCATCAGCTGGGGGCTTGAGCACAGGTCAATGCAGGACGCAGTGGTGGAGGCTGCTCCTGGGACCTTCATCTCATTCAGTCCTGCTTGCCATTACGGCCTTTATGACTAGGACTCATGGAAGACAAGCATTGGCCATCACACTATAGGATATTTCACTTCATTATGGAGACTTTAATTTGTAAATATACTCTAGTGATGAAGTTGCTGTAATCTATTATAAGGTATGTAAGTCCTCTTCACAGCTTGCTAAATAGAATATCTGTGTAGCTGAGTGATCCTTCATGCAACTTTAGATGTTCTACAGCAGCCTGTAATTAATTGAAAGGTCACTTGCTTACAAGTGTTGTGGCTGATACTTATTTCCCGTACATATTTTGACTGAAGGCATCATGCATAAAGGAAAGCAGTATTTTCATTTTTTCATTCCTTATCCTTTTCCTCAGTCCCTGTAGTAGCAACCAAATAGTCAAAGCCCAATAGTCTGACTAAACAAGAGCAGGAAAGGTTCTGCAAGACACACTTGAAACTGCACCAGATTTCTGTCTTGGTGTTTCCATAATCTGCCTCCCTCTCAAAGACCTTGTTATCTGACAATAGGAACAGATTTTGATCCCTCCCTAACTTGACAGAGGTTCATGTAGGTGCAGTTTTCTATCCATTCCTTACACCAGCCCATTGAGAATGGACCTTTCAGTATTTTTGAAGCCAATTGTCCTGAAGTTTGTCTAATTACATGTTTTCTAATTGTAAGGATATTCTTCTCCAGTAGAACCTAAACTCAGGCATTTCTAAATCCTTCAGGCTTTCCGTGATCTCCCATGACATTTCATTTGATTATAACTATCAGAAGAATAATCAAAATATCCTCCTTCCCAACACTGCTATTTTGGTTTCAATGGGTACATTGAATTTTCTTACATTCCTTCCTAGTCCAACTTGAATCATTTCATCTTACTGGAAAATAAATTTATCTGTTATATTTTTCATGCCTTAGATTTCTAAGGCTGAAACTATAACTTTTCAACTTTGAGGATGGTGGTGTTTTTTCTGTTGACAGTACCAGACTCTTTCTATGGTGCCCATGGTTGCATCAATAGCTAGTAAATCAAAAAGTTTAGCAACCTTTAGACATGCTGTCAAAGAAGATAACTGGCAGTGTTAAAGCCCATTATAGTAATGCTAAGGTGAAGCTTTTTTTTTTTCATCCAGAGCATGTTCCATCAGATCTCAAAAAACATCTGTGGCTTCTCTGAAAAATTTCTTCTTCACGCCTGCCACGCTGCTATCTGAATTTCTGATTATACTTTCTTTAGCTACTGCAGCACTGCAGAGACATCAGAGTTGAAGCAGTACTGCGTAGAGCAGTTGGGCAGTAATTCAAGGAGATTTGTCTCCAGGTAAATGTGAATATGCAAGAGGTTCCTACAGTGCTAATGTATGTGTGGACTATATCTCAAAGATGGAAGGAGGGTTTTTTTCTCCAGTAACAAGTTCTTGCAGTGCACAGCCACCTTCCACCTTCCTCCGTCCAACTCAGAGTCTTTCCAAGACCCTTTCTACACTGGGGTTCTGCAGCTGAGGGAGAGCAAAGTGGCACTGGCCTGCTCAGCCTGCTTAGCCAGGCTCTGAGGACAAGAAAGAGGAGCATGAGCACGCCTCTCCAGATATTGCAGCAGTAAAAAATAAATAAGTATTTTGAAGACAGTGGTGGGGACTGTGCCCATAGTACTGTTAAATAACCTTCTTTTTCTATCTTAAAGAGGTCTTTTACTGGCTATTCAGTTCCACAGTTTTGGGAATATATGACAGCTGTCACTAGCCATAGCTAAGACTTCCACTTCTACTCATCATACTCTCCCTTTTCATGTCCGTGACTGAAAGCCTTGAAGTTATGGAGACAGAGCAATGTGCTTTTCCTGTGTTCTGAAACAGATGCCAGAATATTCTTTCATTATTCTTAAGAGCATCTTTAGATTTGGATCAGCAATATTATGTCTCTGTAGAAGTTGATTACAAAACTTGAATTACGTGCAGCTCTTCCATTCAAAAAACATGAAGGTGAGAATTGGCAGCAGCAATTACAGCACAATTCTCTGATTAGGTTTTGTATTGCTGAATACAACACTGATTTATTAAGAAGAAAAATAATTCTGCAACAAATCTTGCCTGCCAATGAGCGCTATATAGCAGTCTTCATTACTGTAAAGGCTGTGATTACTTCATTTATTCTTAATGACTTAAGGGTGCTTTGTAATTTGGTGTAGTGCTCACTGTTAGACTGCCTGGTCTATTGTATAGGTGATAAAAATTTTTCACATCAGTATATTTTGTTTTATTTAAATACTCAGTGGGTCAAATTAATTGTCAGCCTTATGTGTCTTTCTGAAATACAGGAATACAAGACCAGATGGGTAGAATATTGGGGGGTTTTAGCAGATTTGATACCCTGATAATTTGTTGTTGTCTGTTGTGCAGTATTCAGGTACTCGGAATAACCAAAACTATTCTAGCTTATCTAATGAAGAGGAACAAATAGAGACTTGTGCTATGTACTACCTAAAGTTTCCATTTTGTTCTGTATTGTGTTTTTCTGTATTAAGTGTGCCTTGAATGAATTCCTTCATTTACCTCATGCTTTCTTGAATTAATTTCTTTGTAAAACATTGAAAGCTTTTTCTTTTTTGTAGGGTGGCTTTACAAGACACTTCATAAGACTTATTTTTACATCTTCCAAGTCCACTATTATATATTTGTTGCTTTTGTCAGTACTATTTTTTCATTCATAGGTGAGGAATATAGAGCTTTCAGAATTTCTTTTATAGCTTCACGTAGAATTTCTCTTGAATTACTTGTAGCTATTATTCCCACATTTAAAAGGGACACGTATGTGAATATGTGTAGGCACGTAACATGACAAATGAATGGCTAAATTAATCAGCAAAGCCATTATAAAGGGTATATTTATAGCAATGTGATTACTGTAGAAGTAGTCAACATTTTTATGATGTTTATTTGAGCATTACTTAATTTCAGTTGAGTAGAAGAACTCAAAAGAGCAGAACACAAAGAATGCTGGGCTGGTCCTTACCTGGAGGACCTTAAAGTTCAAGTAGATGTGTGATCCAGTAAAAGCTTAAGAAAAAAAAAGTTCAAAAGAATGGAAAGGCATTTTTAGTTGGTTTTGTAAATACATGATGCGATCATGTTCTTATCAAATGCAGTGGTTAAGTAGCGTTTAAGATATGTCTTGGTATATTGTTTTTATAACTGAATCCTGGAGTGTTTATTCTTGACAAGATCATCTTGTAAACTTGTCCATGTATAAGTGCAATAGTGATGAAGTAACTTTCTAAATTGTTTTTCCTTTTAGCTTCCAGAAATGCTTCATGGAGATGGAGATAATGAAGAGCATGGTTATTGTCCGGTGGGGCAGTTCATTCTTCAGAATCTGGGCCTGCTTCTTGGATTTGCCATCATGTTGGTGATTGCCCTCTATGAAGATAAAATTGTGCTTGACATCCAGTTTTGACCTAATTCTGGTAATCACTGTGGTTACAATAATGTTACTGTATGGCTTTGAGTCTGCACTGTTTTGCTGTATGCACATTGCTCAGAGGAAAAGCAGTGGCTTGCACTACTTACACAAGTACAGTATATTCATTTCTGTATAGATTAACTTCGCTTTTTTTCTAATTCAAATCAGATGAGGTTACCCAATGCATCTTCTAAACTCAAGTGATCAACCATGAGGAAATACTAAATACGAGAAATAAATGCCAAGTTCAGTGTACTATGTAAGAAGCACTGCTTGCTTAAGAAAGCAGAAGTACAGTGAATGGTGTGCTCATTTGGGAAAATACCATTTCATTAGTACATTGGAACAAAACCCAGAAAATGTTACAGCTGAAATTCATACCTCTGCAAGGAATCTAAGTAAGCTTTTAGTGCCACATAAGTCTTAAGCAGCGCATATTTATGTCTATATATATGTCTAGATATATATAGAGAGAGATAGATACATAGATATATAGAGATATGCGTGCACACATATATATGTATGTGCGTGTGAATGCACGTATATATAGAGCGAGAGAGAGTCATTCTGTGCTGATTCGTCTGCATAGTGGTGACTTGAAGTATTAAATCTTACAACGGCACATGACTGGAAAACACTGTGCTAGTTTCAGTTTTAAAAAAGAAACCCAAAACCTAAACACTGTTAACTTCGAGTATGCGTTAAGCTGCAGTCCATCATGTGTAAGAAGGCAGGCTGTTGCAATATACGCTGCAGAGTGCTATGTTCTGTCAAGGATCAGTTTGACAATGTTTTTCCTGATTAAGATTTATTTGATGTTTGTTCCTTGATATTGGTAGGAAAATGCAAAATGCAGTAGAATTAGTGTTAGCTTGGGGAAATGTTGGAGTTATTGAGCTATTTCTGGTTCTTTTTTACAGATGCTAAACATGTATTGTGTGCCACTTGCAGCATAAACTACTGAAGAATTGTGGCTGTGAATTTGTGCAAACTCTTTTAATATAGAATCCATATGTGAATTTCTCCATATTTTTTTAACAATTATTTTGGACTGTTTTCTCCTTTTCATGTTAAAACACTCCAAAGTGCAAGATGCTAGTTTCCGAACCTGGGCACAAAGGTTACATTATGCTATGTGTGTGTAGTACTGGTAGGTCATTTACAATACTGTAATATCAGCTCAAGATCTGTTTCTACAATGCCTTGATATTCAGACATTGTAGCACCAGCCATTTCTGGCAGTAGAGAGTATGTAAGAAGATTTCTACTTCCAGCAAAAAGGCGTTCATTTCTAAGATTTTTTTTTCTTTTTTTTTTAACAATTTTTGGTATTTAAATTAGATTATTAAAAAGCAGGTGTGATGATAGATCCATGGTATGTGTAATTTGGAAGGATAGACTGAAAATTTGGGCCTTAACCACTTGCTAGTATCAGCTGTCCTAGATCGGATTGTGCTGATACGCTTATATTGCCAGACATGAGTTAGTTCTTCTTGTACCATCTCCTTAAAAAACCCCTGAGTTTGTGAGGAGTGCAAGTTGATTCTAAGTCCTAAGCATGGTAGTAGGCTTTTCTAAAACACAGTTCATCTTGTTTTATGTGTATGCCAGGTAAAAGCTGTATTTTGATTATGTGCCGTAAGTTTTGTTTCGGTCTGCTTGGTGCCAGTGTAGCTGCTAAAACACTGATCCTAACGCCTTCAATGACAGCCAGTTGGTATCGTCATTCCATTTCATGTTAATGTGTGTTTCCTGTGGCCCTTTACTTTTTGAAACTTTGTTGGTCGATTTAGTTTTCACTGAGAGCAGCTCATGGATTTTAAAGATATGGTTGGTTCTTGCCAGTATTTCTTCCTAATACAGTATCAAGAAACAGTATTAAGGGTCCATTTCGAAGCAGGGCACAGCTTCTTCAGTGAAGAAGCTAAAAGCCCAGAGTTCAGCATGCAGCCGTTTGATGCTCCGAACTTAGGTTTTCCTTTTCCTTCCTTAGGCACGTTTACTGTTGGACCCTAATTAGCAAACACGCTGTTAGCTTCAGATTACGGAATTCCTGCAGTGTAACGATCCTGGGTGACATTTTTTCATAGTGCCCATATTAGGTCACTGAGTACCATTTTCAAAGAGACTCAACTCACTGGATACTTTCTGAGGATCTAAGTTTAAACAACCTGTTTCTTATGTATTAACCTGACCCTTAAGTCTCCTTTTCTGTTAATTCTGTTGCGTATAAGGGGGTCATTATGTGGTTGAACTGATATTTTGTCAAATCATTTTTTAAAGTTTCTTTCTTTTAATTCTTTTTGAATGAAGATTTCTATATTTCAGGTAGTGTATTTACTTTTGTGTTAGCTGGAATATGGTTATAGCTTAATACACTCCTCTATAGGCAAATAGTTAACTTCCTTCCAAGACCATCTTCAGACAAGGGAAAAACATGGTCCTTGAAGGTAGGTACTGTATTTTTCATTAAATATGGGTAGTTTCCTTTTATTTTCTAGTATTTATTACAAGTTATGAAGAGCAGTGTAACAGCTGTGACTTCTTCTATGTGTTTCCATCAGTATTGAATTCCAAATTATTCTAATGTACACTTCTGAGTCATGTTACAGACAATCTGAATTCCACTACATTTCTACTTGGCTTCAACATTCCATTCTGCTTGACTACAGTCTCATTTAACTTGTATTTGTTGGAGGGCATAAATGTTACTTGTATATTACAATGCTGTCACTGTGTGACATCCCATATGAATTTTGATGTAGATCACATTGCACTCAATCTGCTGTGATTATGCTTAGAAAATATTGTAGTTGCTAGATGCAGTGTGATTTTTTTTTTTTTAATTTTTCTTTCCCCTCCCCATTAACAATTGAGTCTACGGTTTAAAAATGTGATTATGGTCCTATAACATAACTTGCCAGGCTATCAGTCTTTTTGTTATAACTAAATCATTTTTTAAAATTTTATAAAGCTGGAAATTATCAAATGCTGTTTTGTTCATTGTCAACAGTGTTGTGTTCATTTTATGTATGTTCCTTATAAATAAGGAGCTTTCAGAAAATAAAATTATTCAAGGAGCAGATATTTTTGTTGGCTTTTATAAGGCTTTATTGTGCACCTTTGTGTTTTAGTATTTTGTTTCAAATCTCATGAAAGGCACAAGTGCAACCTTGTAAACAAAGTCATTTTGATTTTTCTTTTTACGTGGCATTTCAGGACTGACATGCATCCCTTGTAAGTGATCTGGAAGATGCACCTACCTCCATAAATTGTCATAGGTTTATGAGTTAAGCTGACATAATAACGCAACACCCCGTCTGATCCAGTGTTCTTGCGGTTTGTCTGAAGGGAGAGTCATTGCAATGACAAAGTTGGTGGAATGGCCTGTAGTTGACAGGATCCCTCTTCTCTTGCTGGTCTTGTACACTGGGGCTAGGTAACTTGGTCGCTGTGGAATGTCTGCTTTCTTACACAGCTTTAGCCATATTTGCAGCAAAGAATAAAATACTCCTTTTCATCTCAGTTAAAAAAAAATAGGGAAACAGTCTTGGCTTGGCCAAAGTATTTTGACATTGTTGTTCCTTTGTTTTGTTTGCTTTTTAACACATAGCCCTGAAAACCTGTTTTGTGTTTCCTCTTTCTTAGCAGATCACTTCCTCTCCCAAAATACGGAACACCAAACATCCTGTCGTTATTAGCAGAGGATTCTCAGCTCCTCTCAAATGCTTCATTTCTATTTCAACACAAAACATTTCAATTAAATTATTTTCTTTAAGAATGCCCCTGTTACTTCCTTCGAGACTAGAACATAAGAGTAATAATTCTACAGTATTTGTTGGTATATAACACTATAAAATGTCACCAAATGAAAGATACTGACCACAGGTACTGTATCATAGAGGATTTTTCAATGAGATTCTCGTAGCTGCTTAGTTTGCCTGTTCCAGTGTGCTCCATCCAAGAACAATACCTGAACGTAGACCCCTGAATCAGTTGAAAAAGATACCATATTATGCAAAAACTGAAAATGTCTTTTTAGCTGGAGCAGCAGCTAGTGCAACGCACTTTGCTAACTGTCAGTTAATTGAGTGTTCCAAGCAGTGATCAAATAACGTTGAGTATAACACAGTCTTACACTTTATTACAATTTATTCTGATTACAATTCTATAAAGTTTTATAAAGTTACAATGTCTAGAGATACCGTAGTGTATCCAGCCTCTTCTGAATGTTGAATGACAGAGCCTAAAATTTATTCCACAGTACAGGGCGCTATTTTTACATTTGTCATTATTACAAAGTTTTCTGTATGTACTACATATTGTCAGCTTTAATGTTTCCAAACTTGGAGATTTGATCATATAAACAGTCTTTCACTAGTTAGTTGTCACATTGTTTCATTGCTTACATCTCAAATTGACACCTGCTTATACCTTTCTAAAGCAGTTCATTAAAGAAGAAAAAAAGTTTTTAAATGTTTAAAAACCAAAAATATCTTCATTTTGATATGTCATAATGACTTGACAGAATGACAGCTGTCATTCCATCAGCTCTCCAGAAGAAAAAAATGTTACAACTTCTGTTTTTCATCAAACTTGCACCTTCTTGCTCTATAGACTCAAAACTATAACTTCTAAAACAAAAAATAGAAATACAGAAAGTGATTTGAAACTGACTGGCTGTGGCTCTCCCAGGGAACCTGCCAAGCCCTTCTTTTTACACTGCTTCCAGTCAAACTGATCCTCAGACAAGTATTAAAAAGAGTATTAAGAACAGTTCAGTTTAATCTGTCCTTTTTTTCTGAGGAAGAGCAAGCTAACAAATATATCTGGGACCTAAGGTAAGTAGTATATAATAAAGTGGTTTGATAAAAATTAGGGCTTTTCCCCCCTTAGAGTGGCCCCCTACTGCACACTGTGATCATATCCACAAGATACTTTTCAAGGGATAGTTAAAGTAGCATTCACAGCTTCTCTACGAAGTATTTTGTTTTCCTTGGCTTAGGAAAATACGGATCTTCAGACATATATGCTCATGGAATGAAATAAAGGGAAAAAAAAACCAACCTGCAAGCTAGGTATCACTTGAAATTTGTGGGAAGTTTGGGGTAAGAAGTGTCCTCTATTGGTGTTTTGTATCTGCATTCTAATCCAGGAGGGGAACTATTCTCAGTGGTTCTTAAGGATTTAAATAGTATTTTGCCTCTTCACTCCCTGTGCCTCTCATGGAAGCAGTGCAGTTGTGTATGTTTTCCAGCTGAATTCATTAACTTAATTGCATAACTCTGAGTCTGCAAATTAATGTTATCTTCTGAATACATCAGCAAAGGCAGATAATTGTGTCATGCATTTACTTACCATCTTCAGGAGCAATTTCATATTCCTTATCTTCCAGCACTTCGTAGTCAAATTCTAGTAGGTCTATCGGAGTGGTCTGTTTTCTGGCATAGTTCTGCTGGGCACCTGCTTGAGTGAAGAAGAATCGTGAAATCCAGAAGACTGTTGGAGTTCCATTTTCATACCACAGCTGCAGCAGCAAGAGAGAGTGGAGGAGAAAAGAAAAAAAAAAAAAGCGCTCTTTTTTTTTTTAAAGTATTTAGGAAAGCAAGTGTTTTCTGGAATAACAGCAGAAGTTCTCCCTTTGTGAATCCAGGATTGTCTTTTTCTTTTCTGAAAGCCGCAGAACTTTGGATGGTTGCCATGTCTTTTCAAAATGTCACTAGCTTCTGTTTTTAAAAAAAAAAAAAACCCAACCACCCTCAAATGAAAAAAAACGCCAACACTGTTGCCTGGAAATACTTAGCGTATGTGAATGACAGTTGAATTAGTCTGTTAAACATGCATCACCCTTGAAGGTTTATCAAATGAGTGTTCAGTTCTCTGCCTCTCCCTTGTTATTGAAGGCTGTTCAGCATTCAACCTTTCTTTGTCTGTGCAAACTACAGATTTTTTGCTGTTTTCTCTTTGAAAGGGTCATATTTGCCTTCCAGGGCCAAAGGCACATGTTATAAGTGCGTACAGCAAGTTGAAGATGAGGAGGAATTATTTCCTCATGAGGAGGATATGTGGCCTAATTAAACTTCTGCTGATTTGGGGTGGGGGGAGTGTTTGAGGTTTTTTGGTTGGTTGGGTTTTTTTAATAGCTTAGTCTGTGGAGGCCTCTATAAAAAAATTATATTCAACAATTCCAAAATTCACTGGATTTGGTTGTAATATATGTCAGGTCTGTTGCAATGGTGAATATTTACTACATGCAAGAAGACCGTTTTCTGATTTTGCAAACGTCAGTTTTGAAAAAATTTTGCTACAATTACCTGCTGCAGAGAATTACAATGAAGACAACTAAACTAGTTGTCTCTACTAGTAAGTAGTTTTCCTCCCAAGAAATAAAAAGTTATCCACATAGCTATTGGCAGTTTTCTGTTTGTACAAGTTTAATTTCTGTCCTGGAATCTGTTCAAGAAATGGCACTTCTGTTCTTTACACATACTGCTGTCAGGCTTGGTACAGATGGAAGTGGAAGTTACTGACGCATGTTGACTGGGTGATGTGTGTCCAAAAACATAAAATATAGGTTTTCTAGAAATGCAGGTTTTATGAGTATTCTTCTAGACCTAAAACTGGATGCTGTTTTTAATTTTTTTTTTTTTTTTTTTTTAACTGATGATTTTTGTTCCTAGATCTTTTATCTATCTTGGGATCTGTTCTTACAACAGGTTTGGAGTAGGCAACCTGTTATGAGATCCGTTTTCTTGAGTTGATTGAGATTACTAAGCCACAGAAGGGCTCACATAGTAAGTTTGATAACTGGAAAAGAAACTCAATATTATTTTCCTAAGTTCTATTTTAATTAACTTCATTACCACTGCCAGATCTATATGTGGTTTAAGAGGCTCTTAGTGTAAACTCACTTCAGAAGACTAATTCTGTCATACAGTATTACTGACATACTGCATCTTTCTTTGTGAGGTGTGGGGTATGTGGCAAATGCAGTGCTTCATTAGGTGCCGTGATGAGTAAACAGCTATAGGAAACAGATGCACAAATGAATTGAAGCTGTTAATTATTCAGTGGAAGTAATTTGTGTGTATGTTCACTTGTGGAGAAGTCACCTGACATCAACAGACAAAAATAATAAGCAGCATTGACCAAATCTGCGTAAGTGGGGTGTGCTCACCTGTAAGAACTTCAGTCTGTTAAGGAAGTCAGTCGCATAGCTGCCCAGAGGCTTGAGGCTTGGGTAAGACTTACTCATCCATAGCCCTGGAATTTTGCCTTTCAGAATGCTGTTTACCACTTCTTCCAGTTCAGCAGACATCACTACTAGCCCCTAAAAGAAAGGAAGGCTGTCAAAATCTTTGCCTAACAAACAGGCTTGTTTTAACAATTAAAAATCAAGATAGCACTCTGTCCAACAGATGTTATGAACTTCTAGCTGAGTCAGACAGGAACAACACTGAAAACAAAAATAATGGACATAATGGATTTTATAGAAGTTACTGCAGTATTCTGTCTGATCCAGTAGTTAGTCACTAGATTGGTCAGGGAAAAGTTCCATAGCTGCTTCTGGAGAAAACTGCCCATACTGGAAAATTCTCCCTTGCCATGCTTCGCCAGAAACATGCTCTTCCCAGAGCACTTCTGAGTTTTACTAACTGTAAATGTTCTCTTTTATTATTATTTAAAGTTTCCTCAAAACTCTGTGACATTGCTGTAAATGCCTTATTCTAAAGTGGCAGACTTTTCAGCTTGTAGTTTGGCGAGAAAGGAGTGGTATTTATGGGGTTGGGGCGGGGGCACTGTTTGTTTTTTTTTTTAAATGCCTCATCAGCCTTAAGCTATAAAAGGATAAATAAAAACTACCCAAACTGACTTTTTCATGCCTTTTTTTGTATTTTGCACATCTGTAGCTTTTGATTCCTACTGAGAACAAACATCGACTTTAGACTGTGATATCTTAACTGGAATCCTCACTGGCAGTAATTTGCTATTTGAGGTGTTGAGGAGATCTGCTTTCATCTGTAAGAAACTCTGTGAGATGCTTCAGTCTTTCATGCCAGTGAGGCAGAAACACAGATGTGAACCCGGTTATTGCTTGTCTTATTTGCTCACGAATCTGCAGTTAAAAACTTTGTTTTGGTTTCTCTGCAGTAGGCACAATAGTATTTTAATATTCTATTGTACTCCTATCATTTTTAAGATACAGAACAATAAATCAGTTTGGAATCCAGATTCTTTAAACGTGCTTGACTGACCAACCTGAATCAGACTTAGGGGTCAGTTCTCTAAGGTACTTGCACTGATAGCTCAGAGATTGTGTCTAGGTTCCAGATATATGCCTTTAAAGGTCATCTTCAGCTCACCTTTATTGCTTTCTGGATGTTAACACAGGAGTCCCGTATTATCTGCAGTAACGTGTTAAAGCGTCCCATCTCTTGGGCAAGCACAGCATTCATGCTTTGAGTGTGAGTGGTCGGATATCTTCTCATTGCTGCTTCAATGTCAAAATTTGAAGGAAGTTTGCTCAGGATGTCACCTGTGACTTCACAAACAACTTCATCAGTGGATTTTGCACCACCATCAGATAACCGAGACTAGAAAGAGCCAAAAATTTGGATTTTGAGCAAAAGGAAGAGGACTTAGGAGACTGAGTAGTTAAAATGCAAGAGAATAGAGCTGTTATAAAGACATTGTTTAAAAGATCATTACAGTTCCAATGCTCTTCCTCTGTGATTAAAAATAATTCGTTTCAGAATTTCCCATATTATTGCAATAAGTTATTAGCTTAGAACTAACAAAATCTGTTTTCCTACAGAGCTGTCCCCTCTTCATTTTTTTTTTACCAAAATCCTGCTGCCACTGTAAACCAATCTTTTTCCCCCTGTCTCTGAGGTACCCATCAGCACTACTGGCTAGCCAGGTGCTGTGAAACGGCACAGAGCAGTGCCAAGTTCTGTCTCACTGTCCCTCCATGTCTCTCTTGCTCTCTATATTAAGGTTTTCATTTTCCTCATGAAGCTTACAGGAACTACAGTATCCCTAGATTGTACCTGGCTTATAAACTGGACTGAAACTGGCCAAGAAATTGAAAATTGTTAAAAGCCAAGGGGCAGAGTAGAAGATACGCAAACTGACTGTACAATCATAGAAGCTGTATTTCCTTAGGAAGACAGTCAAGAAAAACACACAACCAAAAAACCTTTAAAAGATTCTTAAGTGAAACAGTAATTTCAGCAGAATGGAGATACAACACGGTGAGGTACAGTAAAAAAATGAAAAAAAAAATCTGAAGATACTAATGTGGACATAGAGTAGAGAGTTCTGGTAAGATGGTGTATGACTTTTTACATACCTGTGTAAGAACAATGTTATCAAATAACAGTTGCGTTTCTGACTGATCCTTTCTAATATCAGCATTTGCATGCATTCCAAATATCTCTGGGGAAGGATTCAATGGAAGTGTCTTTGTATATTCAACATAGCTTTGGTACTGAAAAAAGGAAGGGAAAAAAAAAGAACAAGCCCAAAACTCTAGAATTAAAAGGAGGTGCAGAAACAGCCCCTGACAGGCTGCAAGCTGTCTCTCAAAACCACTACAAACTTTCCTATTAATGAATACAGTGTGTAAACTAAGATATAAAAGGGGGCCAACTGTACCGTACAAATTCCTTTGGGCCACCCTCTTGCCCTGAAATCAGGATTGGCTTTGCTTAAATACTTTCTGACAAAATTTCTGGCAGCTGTTGGAAATTCTCTTGCAAAATAAGATACCAAGTGCAAGGGGCTGCAGCCCCTTTCTGGGCCTACTGCTTGCGAGCATCTGAAGGCATTTTGCTCATGGGTAATATAAGTCTCCTGTGTGATAAATTAAGCTGATTACTACATCCTTTCTACCTCCAGCAGATATTATCAACTAAGTCGCTTATGCCTATTTTATAATGCTTATAACTTCAGCAGGCTATGTTTCACCCTTACTATCCCTTAAGTGTGCTGACTCACACACAGCAAAGTCAATTTAGTTTGTAGTAGTTGGGGTGGGTTTTTTTACATCATTTCCATTTCTTAGAAGTCACTGAAATGAGTCCTAATAGAATGTGAGATTAAGCCACAAAAGTGAGCAGTGACAGTGGTAAGCACTGACGCACATATTAATGTCAGTAAAGATAGATCTGTGTTTTAAAAAAATAAGCTGTTGGTAATTCTGTTCTTTTGGGATACTTACATCTACTTCAGGAGGAGCAAAATAAAGGCCACTTGGATCAAATTTATAATCTACATTTGTAATGATTTCTGAGGAAAAGAACACGTCTAGCACACTACGGAGCGTTCGCCGATCCCAGTCATCAGTGACTCTGCCACCATAGTTACATTCTCCAGTCATATAGCGAAGAGCATCATATGGCACCTCCTGAAAAAAAAAGCAAGACGATGATCTGAACTGCAGCCTAGCACTTCTCTGGACAGCCATATCTGTATCATTGTAATTTAGTTAGAAGTCATCCAGAATTCTCACTGTAAATTTTAAAAGCTGTTATTTGCTTCTGCTGGTTCATGCTTGTAGCATTGATCTCCTGAGCTTCAAATACTTTAATAATCATCCATCAAGTCACCCGGCATTGCTTCTTTTGAAGAATAATAGCACCAAAAATTTCCATAGTAATGCAGCTGGAACTCTCTGAGTACAAGTTTATGGAAAACTTTTCCAAGATTATCTGTACTTGTTCAGCTATGCATACTTCTGAAATAAATGTATGTTGTCACAGGGCCATAGCTGTGCTCATACATCTTATTTTACTTACATTTTTAGAAAAGGAAGAGATCATGCTTAAATTTTTGAGGTTGGGCGAAGCTGGACTCCTCTTAAGTGCATAAAAGGAACAAATTATGAGTGATATGAGATAAATTACAGGAAGTCAGGGCGAGTGCATGATATGCTAAGAATTGTGATAAATCAAACCAGTCAAAAAAAACTGCAAAGAAATCTGCTTACTACGTACAAGTTACTATCTTTCAGGAAAAAAAAAAAGCTTCCCTCCCTGCTAGGCAATATGATTTCTCATAAGCGTTGGTCGTATAATGGGAGGACATCCCCTCAGACCCACCCCGCCTTCATTCTCCTTCAGGGAAAGAAACACACACCTTCATGAATTTGCTTTCTCAGCTGAACCACCATTTACCTGTTAACCACATGGATAACCAAAAACACTCCAGGCTTACAGTGGATTGAAAATAACACCCCCTTCCTGCCCCTAGCCATAACTTTAACAGATTCTTGCTATAGTGGGTTGCTTGGAAAGCTGGAAGTGTCATGTATTGCTATCAAATTCCAGACAGGCTTCTATGAAACACTGCCTGTCTCTTCAAATGGGGAAGGAAACATCATCTGCCAAATTTACGCAAACAGGTCAAGATTGTTATTAATCTGCAGCAGTCCAGGGTCTAGTATTATCCCTATCATTGAGTAAATCACAGTTAGCAATTAAGTGTTTTAGTACAGTATTTTACAGCTTGCAGTGACGCCACCAAGAGCTGAATCTACAGCTCCTGCTAGAGACAGGCTAAGATCCCAACAAGTAAGGCAACTATGGAACAAATGCTGCTCTATTTTACATGGCAGAACTTCTGAATTGTAATTTGAAAGTTTGCCGTATTAGTTATATACTGATCATGGTATACTAACCACTTAAAATGAATGTGGTTAGCACTATTGCAAGTAGACCTTGGTTTCTAATTCACTGCTCCCAGTAAACTGTTGCCGTGGCAGCACGCGGCCTGCATTGGCACATGCACTAACAGTCCTACAAAGTGCAAGGAAGGACCGGTGACCACTGTGAGAGGCTGCTTACCTCATACTGGTCCAGGAAGATGTGCAGCTGCTGCACGCGGATGCGCAGGTCAGTCTCATTGAACTCATATGGAATGTTCCAACCCAACGGCTCAAAATTCCTCCTTTCTTGCACCAGCATGTGGAAGAAGCAGAGGCCGTACAGCAATGTTTTGAACTCAGTCTTAAAACCAAATGCAACACTATTACTAATTCATGGCTGGTTTAAACCATTTCATTTTGTCTTAACATCCTGCACAGCAGTGCTGCCTTTGAGTCACTCAAATCCCGGCATCTCCTGCTCTGGTAACATACTCTTTATGAGTCAGGGTAGCTTTTTCTTGACATACAAAGGCCTTGAGCAGGAAATCTTCAAATTATCATAAGAATCAGTTCTAAATATTCTCTCAAACAATTCTCTTGACCCCTCAAAACATTTTCATTTTTAAAGCTATATATCCAGGTATATGTAATTAATATACATAACACATACAACACAACTATTTCAGCTTTTTTTTTTTTTTTTTTTCCTCTCTCATTATCAAGATAGATTTCAGGCCTTTAAAGAAAACCTTCAGATAGGAACTTTTGTTTTTCATTTGAGACCATTTAGCAAAGTATATGACCTCATTTAGAAGAACTACATTCATTATAGAAAAATAATGTAAAATATACTTGCAAACAGCCATCTAATTGTGAAAAGGGTGGTTAAGATTTTTTCCTAGTCTTTTTTTTCAAACTGTACTATTAATGTCATACCCAGAAAAATCTCAACTGAAGAAGGAGATGAGCAACAAAATAAAAATTAAATTTACTTCACTATTGTCAGTAATCAAAACCAGCTTCATTGCAGTGGAAGACAACTATTTAATTTGGGAGGGGTTTTCTTCCCACAGAGTATACATACACAGTCATCAGGGTCTGCTTTAACTGATTTACAAAGTTACAATACAATGTTACTAACAGGTTTTCTGCAGCTGTTGAAAAACTCAGGATCAGATATTGGATCCATCAGGTACGAACGAATTATATTGGCCCATAAACCTTTTGGTGCTTCATAGGTCATCTTCACTCCATTCTGAAGTAAAGACACTGGGAATGTGGCAGATGGGTAACTGGTGAGCCAAATTCGGAAATCTGGATGTGTTGTATCAGGGTTTAGCTCCTACAATAAACACATGTAAAAAACAGGCAATTGGGAGACAAAATAGATTAATATACACCTCAAGTGTTGTTATTAAAGCAATTTTTTTTAAGTGGGAAAATATACCAATCTGAAGTTTAATTTCTTAGATGCTTATATGTGATTATAGTGAAAGTCACAGTTACGAATGACACCCTCCCTTCCAGAGCTGGTGTACTTTTATGCAAGACTTGAGTATTTTGAACTAAAATTTGACGTCTCTGTGCATTTTTATGGAATATATGAACAAACCCAAGTGTTTTGCTCTGTACCGCAAGAGCAATGGAATGCATACTTTGCCTGTTTACCACACTTGCCTGTCATAGAGCTGTTCTGGGAAGGGCTATAGAAATAATACGTATACATCAGAAATGTGTTAAGTTTATCAAGGGGGAGAAAAAGAAAGAAATATACACTAGTACATCTTTGGAAACCTATAGCTGTTCAAGAGTAAAATTCCTTAGCTTACTGCTTTTCTGCAGCAGTAGACATAGGATGGAAGCTCTTGGACTGAAGAGACTGTTACAGCAGCTGGGATTTACCATTCAAGCAATGGGCCAGACCCACTAGGTTTGTGAACACTTTCTATTCCAGCAGGCAGAAAGAAAAAGATGCAATCCTTATATAAAGAACCCTTACGTAATGGGAATCATCACAAAGTATGCTAAGCTGGCTTTTCAGTCACCTCTATGGATCAGACATGCCTTCAAAAGTATTTGTAAAATAAGATAATACTTATTTTTACCTCACAGACTCTTTCCAGTGTTGGCATCCATGAACTTGCTAGATGGCAATTTTGCAGAACTATCCATGTTCCTTCCTTTCCTGCCTTTTCTATCATTTTCATGGCTATCAGGCCTTGGCCTTGACCAAGTGACAGAGAACTAAGCTTTGTACCACCGTATCCCTGCATATAGAAAGCACATTATAAGTAAAAATAATATTGCATAAATACACTAAACTTTCTGGTATGAGAGTTTACACCTGTATGTATTCTTGAATTATTTAATGTACAGTATATTTTTAAATATAGTTTAAATCTTATTTTCCATGTCATTCCAGTTGACTAAGACCTCTTATCTGTCTTCCAGTGAAAAGCTCCAACTGCACATCCGTTTAATCCAGACTGTAAAATTCTGACAGTTTCAAAGTACTCCTGCCTGAAAACAGTATGCTCTTTAAGGATGTAGACAACCTACCGTAAAATGCAATATACATTTGCAGCTTGGTGGTTGGAGACTTGAAGTATGTCTGTCATTCTCAACAGCATAGAATTCTGACAGAATAATAGTCAGGAAATGCAAGAAATACATTTTACCAGAAAACAGCAACTTTCTAGTATTGTAACAGTACTCTTCTACATAAGAACTGATTTAGGCTGTTGAGAATTTTTTGTTTTAAATGCCGTAATAATGACAGTCAAAGCCAACAAAAATCTGTATTTGAATTCTGAGGTGAAAATGCCACCCAAGATCCTAAGGTCCTGTATTACTACAGTGTTTTTTAATTAATATATTACACATAATGCTTATTAGAAAAAAAAATACCATTTTCAGATAAGATTCCTTACAATGAACATTTAAACCATTATGGTTTTGTTCCATATTTCCATTTGAGATTACCCAAACTAATCAGTTAAATAGATCATGACATCACAACATTATAAAATATGCAAAAAAATATTTAAGATATAATTTCTTATAAACAATAGACAAATTATTAATCCCTAAAAACATTCTATTTGCATTAATTAGTGCTTTGTGCTAAAGAGAAAGATGAGATCAATTTTAACATGTTTTTGGGCTTAAAAACAGGTTTTTGAGCTCACTTTATTTCAGTGAAAGTTGAAATGCCAAAGTTCCTCGCTTCATACCAGCATACACGCATGTGCGCACACATATCAACTATATAAAAAAAGTCTGGAGATATTAAAATACCTGATCATCAGCAAACTTAAGAAGGGCTGCCATGGGGTCAGCACCAGGAGAAAGTATAAATATCAGTGGTGCACAAGAATGACTATCAGAAAATGCTTTTGACAAATCAAATGCAGGTGGCTCAACAAATGGACGGCCCAGGTTGTGAATAATAAATTCCTGCACCATTGGTATTATCTAATAAAAAAAAGGAAAAACAGAATTATAGTGTCCTATTTTTGTGTAAGCATTAACACATATTACTTTAAACATTTTAATATGCATTTCACGGACAGTATTCCTGCATATAAAATTAGATACAAGTCAGTCCCAGAGGAACCAATGATTTGGGATGTTTAGATCTAGTCAAAAAAAGATGCTCTAAAAAGGCTGAAATTGGAAGTCCTATGCAAACAATCCTTAATCTCATTTCTGTCACCACATCTGGACAGACTAATGTGCTGGTGTAGGAAGCCAGGATTTTTTTGCACTTACTCCATCTGTATTATGGAGAGAATTTCAATTTTCAAGCCTCATATTTCAAAGGTGTTAAGATCATGGCTTAGAAAACTGCTGTGTACAGCAGTCTTGTACACTCCGGTGTTTAAACTTCATGCTGAAGTTAACTGGGCTCCATACCAAAATGATAGACAATTTATAAATGACAGCTTAATGCTTTGATTCTGTAAACCCTTACATGTATAATTCTTTTAAATATAACCATTCATTCTATCTCTGGACACACTCTAGAGTATTTTACAATAACAACCTCCCCTTTAAAGAAATGCAACAGTATTTTCAAACGTGACACTAAGATTTAATCTCTGAATGCAAAATTTGAGAAACGCTAAAGGTTTCAAATAGCAACATTAATTCAACCACTTTGGTCACAATCAGTATAATATTTTTCAATTTTTTTATATGTTAAATTGCTGTATTCATAACCAGAGTTTTTAACTTGCATTTCTGAAATTTCAGTTACAAAACCTGTGATTTTCATGCTGCATTAGCATAGGTGCTTTCAGTTAATAAATACGTAGTGTGACCGAGTACACAGAATGTGATACAGGGGAAAAAAAAGTTCCAGTAGCTTCATTCTCTTGACTGTCCTGCTCAAACTCACCTGTGTTTTTACTTTAACACTCACCCTGCTTTACAGGTGCAATGTGTCACCAATTAGTATAACGCCTTAAAATTGAGAGCAGGAGGGAAGCTCTGAGCTATACTAATTGCAGGCTTCATCAATGGAGATGCTCTTGAAAGAGCTTGGTCTGGCTTCCAAGCTCTTGAGTAATTTTAAGGATATGTATGAATTTGAGAACCGTTTAAAAACCTTCACAAACTGGCCTTTTACAGAGAACTGCAAGTGCACTCCAGAGAATGTAAGTCTGAAAATGGATATTTTGACTATGCCTTATTTTTTGTATACTGTGCCTGAATGTAAAGTCATTGTTAGTTATATTCATGTTCAAGAGAAGTTGTGAGCTTCCACCAAGCCTGAAGAAGATGAAAAGTTGAATATTACAACTTTCCCCTGTTCTCTGCTTAGACATACTGTAGTAGGATGACTGGCTTCTGCACGGACAGTTTACTAGTCTAACTACAGAACTGAATATAGTTACTTTTCTTGTTTTCATTTTTTTTGTTCTTGTCACTTAAAAGTTAATTCCTTGTATTATGTAGTCTTTCTGATTGCAAAGTTTCATTCATAAAAAAGCCTATATTAGAAGAAACAAGTACATATCCAGCAGGAAGGATGAATGATCACTACTTAAAATTCAGAAATTAAAATTATTTAAATTTTAGAAAACATAATGTTTATGTCCCTGCAGGCTTTGACTTGAGCATTAAAAAAAAAAGTCCACCTGACTTCTACTTTGGCGCACACATGAAACTTCCAGGCTGGATCTCAGATGAGTCATACTAGCTAGAGTTATCTGAGGAGGTGTGAAGTGTGATAAGGGAAACAAACTTACTTAATTTTTAGTGTTCGACCAAATGTGATTCTGAATTGACATGAAAACATAGAAGAATTTTACTCACATAATTTATATTTAAAGGTTCTCTATGTCCATGGTCTTATGCTGGTTTTAATCTGAAAATACTTAAATTTCTGGCCATGGCAGACTGTGTGCAGTGCTACTGAAATGCCTGTGTAGCATGGCATCTACTAGACGTTATCTGCTAGAACAAAGCTACTCCAGTAGCCTGCAGATACCACAGCTATGCAGAAATCCATTCACTACTTGTAGCCTATTCTTTGTTCCTTTACTAGTTGCTTATTTACCTGCTTGCAGTCCTCTCACTTAAAATTTATTTTTTGGCCTGATCAGTGCTGATAGACATTGTGGGGAAAGGCATTATTTGCAAGCTCTCAGACACAGTTTGCTGATGTGAACATGAGCAGTGGGTTGAATGAAGCTCTAAACTTCTGAACTGTTACCTGCAGATGGCAAAGGCGGGCTTTGTCCACTGTCCAAATGCAAATGAACCAGATGTGGCAAAATGTTTCTTTTGCTTGATAGAACTGGAGGGCTGGAAACCAAATGATGACCCATGGTAAGCACAGATTTAACAATGTTCTTGAAGTATTCCTCCAAATTTCTTTGACAACATGCCATTACTCATTATAAAATTACCAATTTCTCTGTAACAGTTCACAAAACTGAAGCCTATTGAAATTTTATCTTACCCAGTAACCTTGAAATAGTTCAACTAGCTTTTATCTGAGATCCGCTAAAATCTAATTCGTATGTTTTCTGTATGATACTTTTTCTACTGATAGGCAGTGGAAGTACTGAAAAGACCTGTCTATTCAGATTTCTTCATCTCTTAAAATGTAACTTTCATGGCTTTAGTATCTGTTCTTATTCTGGGTTTACCTTGCAGGGAGGAACACACCAAACGTCACAGCTGTGGCTTTTTATCCCTTACTAAGCACTTTGATGACCTGACAATGGAGGAGTACTACATGCTGGAGATGACACGGCTGAGAACCTTCCTTGTAAGTGTTAACCAAATAATCTTAAGATAAATTCAAAGCTAAATGTAAAAGAGAGTGTCCATCTCTAAGCATCAGCAAGGAGTGACTGTGTAAGGCTAGAACATGACTTATTTTGAAGTAATGATTAACATGCATTATTGGCTAAGAAGTCTGCACCTAAATACTTCTCAGTGTAGTCTATTGTCAAAAAACCTGTTTCCTTTAGAAATGTTTTTCCAACAACTCATTACAGCAGACAAATTATCTTGGGTGCAATAATCAATCAATCCAGGAAGCTCTACAATTAGCAGTTCTTTCTCAGGAGGGATGAACAACACATGTGAAAAGACAAAATTTGACCAGATCTTTGCATCACATGTCCAGCTTTACATGTAAATCAGCCTAATTAAGCTTTGAAACTTTAAAGACAGTTTCAAATGTTTTACAGTTACCCAGTTTTACTCCTCCCCACTTCTGGGATTTCTTGCATGCCCTAGTGCTGACATATACAAAAGCACAGAAAGCTGAACAGCTTCAACTAGTTGATCAAGATCAGCTGATCTTTGATATATGACCCCTAATCCTATGGATAGTAAGAATCAAGTGAACCAAGATCCCTCATGAGGACAGTAAAGTTTCTGCATCTTACTTCCTGGTGGTTTTGCACAAATAAGATCTTTGCCTTGCTGATAACATCCCATGTTGAAAAGATACCTGGTGACTGTCAAGGTTAAGTATTTAAGTTCCCTATACAACAGACTCTACCTAAAAACAGGATCACATGCTGCAGCAGGAGCAGTTTGGTATCTTAAAAGGTGGACTAAGAGTGAGAAGATGATGTTGTTATGAACAGCAAATTATTTAGCACAGTGTTCCAAGGTACAAAAGGAGTCTTGGCCATAATATTACTTTATTTCGAAGTAGAGCATATAGAAAACTTGAAGCATCAACCACTTCAAGTGGGAACACTTTGCCTCCAAGAATGCTGCCACTAATATAGGTTGGAGGGCTATGCAGTATGGCTGATCCAGAGCATGCTGCCACCTTGAAGCACCAATATCCTAATGCATCCTGAGAAGCAAGCTCATGCCTCTTCATGCAGAAGAAAATCAAACTGAAGTCTCCCTCCCTGATGTTATTTAAAATATACCTAAACAGCATGTTCACAATTTACTTTACGAGTATACTAGACATCCTAAAAGTGATTACTGAGCCCTACTAGCAAGGCTAATAAAGGAGTTTCTGTACCAAATGCAGGTATGCACAGGAAATATCTGCCAAACTGCTCTGCACCACTCAGCCAGGTGACCACAGTGAAAGGTAGATTTCTAAGCCAGAATTAGTGGCAAATCAGTGGATTTTTGAGGATCTGGTTTTGAATGTAGTTGAACTAGACAGTTAAACTGCTCAATCTTTTGCTTTGCTTTAAGTGCAAAACTGGCAGAAGCATAATAAACTCTTTTGAAGAAGAAGTCACTGCAACTCGGCAGCGTCTGGTGGATAACTTTGTCTCCAAGCATCAGTATACACCGCCACCGCCTCTCCATGCCGATCCATCTGCCCAGCATTCTGAAAGCTCATACTGCCAGTCAAAAAAAAAACCAGAAGTGAAGTGTAAAGTCTGATTCTAAAAGTTTCTCTTTATATGGTACAAATAGTAAAATTTTTATCAAGTACTAACATAAAGCTAAACAGTTGTGTGAGGAAGTCTAGAGAATTCCTTTCATAGGCTTTCTGGAACAGAGGTCATAACTGTTTATACCAATTCCTGTCTTTTGCAATATGCTTTGTCATTATGGCTAGGTGTGGACTCTAGTAGTCCCGCTGCCCTGTGAATATATGAAAAATCTCTAAGCAAATTATATTCTGGGTTTTAGTAGCTGACTTGTTTGGAATAAAGATTCACAACTGTGAGCACCTATTGTGATCTGTGCCATGTTCAAGCCTTACAATTAGACTCAAACCAGAACAGTTCTGGTTCAGGACACCTCCCAGAGAACAAAATGGATCTGTATCTGCAATAATTGTACCTTTAAGCACATATTATCTACACTCCTGCTTACAACTTGATTATCTTCCTAGATCAGACAAAATTTACCATAGTGACATCCATCAAAAACCATACATAAGCAAAAATAGCAGGTGTACTGAAAAAGGAAAAGTCACAAGGTAAGACTGTCTCAAGGAGGAAGAGCTCTGGGGATCTTGGTGTGTACACTGAAACTTAACAAAAGCCAGAGGCCTACCCTTCTGGTTTAAAATTTTTTCATTACAATTTCAAATTTGCTATTTTTTTGAAATCTCATTAATTCATATTTTCCCTTATGATAGACTGTTGTAGAATGGTTGTAGACACCACAGTTGAAATGTATACTTGCAAATACTGGTTTCTTAGATGGACAGACCTGTTTGAATAAGGTGGAAGTTTTGTACATACTTTGTCAGGTCTCAGGCAGTGAATGATAAGCATCCTTTGGAACTCCCCCAACTTGTTTTACCACTGAGCAGGAGAATCTTCATGCTGGGGATCCTAAAAACATATGTATTTCAAAATTCTTTAAAGCATTTGTGAATTACCTATAGTGAGAGTAAATTATCTTTTAACTTAACACATTAATCCATAATGTATTTTTTCTTAATGTACAGAAATGGAGTTGACATACTTTAAACTTTTTTTTTTTAAAAAAAAAAGCTTTTCAAAGAAGCTATAGTAATTTTTAAGTGTTTAAAAGATAATTACTCAAAGTTCTTCTCTAGAAAGTGGAAAAGGAATGAGGTAGTGGAAACCTGAAAATGAACTTTACCTCCCTCTTTCTATTAGAACTGAATTACAGTGTCAGTCTTCAATATTACAACGATATTACAATTATAACCATATAATCAATGACAATCACATTACAGTATTACATGATAACTATGAGCTAGGTTGCATGCAAATGCAGAAAATGAGTGCAGGAAAACAAGAATTGGAAAATTAAGTCAAACAATGCACCAGAGAACTCTGTTTGTAAATGGCCTGTGAATAATCCAGCTATTATGCTGTTACTGCAGTATCAGATTGGGAACAGCAGTTGTTGTGTGGCATGTTAACTTCTTATGAGATTGAAGTACAGTGCCAGCTAGGTATGCCTTTCTGGAAACTGGTATTACAGCACTGCTGGTGAGGCTCTTAGGCTTGCCTGTAGAGGCTTGGGTACAGAGATATGCAGACAGACCTGCCCAAACTGCATTCCGAGCAACTTTGATTTAGAAAATCAAATCACAATGGAGCTCAGGTTCTGCTAAGGATCTAGAGCCTGGCTCCCTCCTTCCCAACTCCTAGGCACTTAGTTTCAGATCAGAATCCAAACTGCTGCATTATTTTTATAATTAATATATGGGGAAAATATGCACCTCAGAATGACATCTTGAAGAGTTTAGCTAAAAATTTGCAAGCCTTTTAGGAAACTGAGTGAATTAGGAAACACTGAGGAGTGAAGGCTGCACTGAAGACTCCATTAAGTTGTGCCACTGTGCCAAAAACTCTTCACTTCTCCACCAGAAGAGATGCATCAGTAGCTTTGAGATTAAGTCAGCCAGCTAGAGGAGAACTGAGTTTCAGTCCCTGCTCCAAGATATGCGATATGACATTAGATAAAATATTTAGAATCCTTGAATTAGGGAGCTGAAGCCAGGTCTCCTCTACTTTCGGAAGCAACCTGATCTACAACAGTAGGAGCACAAAAGTACACCTCAGACTCCTTTGAAAAACATTCATATTCAGTGTATGGTTGCTGATGACAAAGTGGCTCAAGCAACACTGATTTTGTGCCCTTTTCTCTAACACATGCGTACGCGCAAGAAACTGCAATTTATTAAGACGGGAAAAAGAGCTAGTTGCATATTACTGAGGATAAACTATACTGGTAATACAAAAATACAGTTATCAAAAAGTAATCTTCCCCAAGATCTACTAACTAGCATTTTTGAAAATGCTAGTGCATTCACATGAATGTACTAGTATTAAAGCTAGGCAGGTAACAAACGCTTTTACATAACAAGTAAAAGGCATAGCAGCTCTGTGGTAGATAACGCCATTTCTTTTGATCTTGCACTCACTGGCTTCAGTGTTACTGTTTATTAGATTATCAGTTAACTGATGACCTGATTCTATAGATCTCATTTTTATTGAATGCCACTTAAGTGAAGGAATTTCTCTTTATTTCTGTTTGGCTGGGTGAATGCACACATAGCTATTGCACACATCTTGACTCTTCACTTCTGAAAGTCAGCACGTTTCATTTGCATTAGGCATTACTTTAAAAAGCTATAATCCCAAAGTGCATAATGTAGTCCCCTCACTCACTCTTTTTTTCAAATGCCATCATTTCTCTGTTCATTTTCCAAGCAATTATTTCCCAAAGAAAAACTAAAGCCCTCAATGTGCTGTATGTTTTTGTAAATGCCCTAGGAAAGCTTTAACTCTGCTATTCATCTGTTTCCTGCAATGTGGACAACTGAAGGAGCTGCCGTTGCTTACTTTCTTTAATGTCTCTCATTTACACTTAGGAGCATTTCCCACCAAAAATCCATTCTTTTCCTCTCTGCATACTTTAAGCCCATTTTTTAAATACAAAGAATTTTTAAATCCTTGACATTTACAGTAAATAAAACACAATCTTTTTGAAATGGATGTAGGAAGTCCTGTGTCATTTGACTAAATATTCATGACACCACCTGACAAACTGGCAATAATCTACTATGACACAATATTTGCTTAAATATTTACATTTGTATATGTTAAGAACATACCATATAAAATGACAGCACTTTCTTTTCCCTGAATAAATATTTTCAATGTGTTAATTAGCTTATGAATGCAAGCAATCAGGAATGTTAACATACCAAGCTGTCATATACTAATTTCCATGTATTCTTCAGTCGCATAAAATCCTTACAAATGTTTGTGAAGCATGGCAGATCATCCAGTTGACAAATTTCATCCCACGATTTTGGAGGAAGCCAGGAATATGGATTAGAAAAGGGAGTTCACTATGGGTTCACATAGGTCCAAACGTATGCCTCCAGTCAACAGAAACTTCCACTCATTCTCATTAATCTACAAGGAAAAACACTGCTCTCACAACTAAATAAAAAAAAAATCAAGTGGTTTTAGTACATTATGTAGGAAATCAATACATTTATCTGGATTCTTGCATTAGTTGAAAAAGCTTCTATACAACTACTAAAAGCTTATTTCTGAAGTATTGAGTGTCTGGTTTTCAGTTAAACATGAGTTTAAGGAATCAAAAAAACTAAGATATGAGCCAATTTAAAGATTCATCTGCATTCCTAACTTGGGGAATGAACGACGTTAACCGATTAGATTTTTAGACCCACTCTTCAAATCCTAAAATGTTCAAAGAAAAAAATACTGGACATATTTCAGGAAACCATACATTTTACAACCTTTTCCTATAATGCAAGTCTAAATATCAAAAAGAAATATCAGCCTATTACATGTCTCATTCCTTTCTCAGCACTCCTTTATCTTAAAATTTCTTTGATGGCTTGAATTTGTAAATTGAAGTCCCTGTGAATGGCAGAACGGTGTCCCATGATCGTTACTGTCAGCTCTTAAAAGAGTTCACTTCTACGTATTCTCTAATACAAAAATTGCAAAAGTTTCTAAAATTTTAAGTAAGTGTTTCCATATTACACTGAAAGAAACAACTCCAAGCAACCATAAGTACTGTTTTGCAGATGATATGGTTAAAATGCGTGTGTTTTATTAGGAATTAAAAAAAAATCCTGTAAAGAACTACTAGAAATCAGTAGAATTCAGTTGATACAAGTGTTTGATTTTGAGGAATTTATGCAAAAATAAACACATTTAGCACCTTAAGAGAAAGAGCTGAGTAGTTTCTTAAATCAATGGTTACAATTCATTTTGATATGCTCTTAGAACTCGGAATACATTACAGAAAAATTTTGCAAACTGTTCACTAAGAATAGCATTGGCTGGGCTTTGGTTTAAGTAATGTTTAGAAAAATTGTTATCATCCAGCACAGTTTTTCCTTATTTGTTTGTTATATATTTATTTTATTCTAGGGAATATTTTTCAATGCTTATAATTGCTTATTAAAATGAAAATAAAATACCACAAAATTGAGGCTTAAGTAATGTAATTATATATAAACTCATTTTTCTATTCTTATCCTGTGTGTTCCTATTACTGATAGTTTGTATATGCAGTTTAATATATATCATATAAAACTGCAAATTATTTTTAATTACTCACTAATCTTTCATGTTTCAGGAGATTCACAGTTAGACAAAAAGAGAAGAGCAGCTTGTCCTTTTCAAAGAGGGAGTGACAGACATTGACATAAAGTAAGTAAAATGATCCTTCAGAATCTTCATCCTACAGGTGTTAGAAAAAGAACAGCCTTCCATTAATATCCCTCTAAAGAGTGTGCATTCTGGAAACCTATTACAAACCATTTAGATCTCCTGATCTCTTTTGTTCTAATACACTCTCTGGTCAATTACCCCAAAGCAATCGTTAAATGCATGTAACAATTTGTGAGCAACATAACATAAAAAAAACATTTAAGTGCAATTACATCTCAGTAACACATGACTTTCAGAGAAATTGAGAGGTCCCTTTTGGGAGGGGCAGAAAAGAGCAGCAATTTTAAAATTAATTATGAATAGGAAGACCAGGGCCAAAATCAAAACAGTCCATCTTTAAAGGTTATCTGAAATGTATTTCCCATTCTACAGAGTAGTTTCCTTAATACACTATAATACAAATATATTTAAAACTCTAATTTCAAAGCAAAGATGCCATCTATCGTTTTATAAGGGTTGACGTTAGAATACCTTGAATACTTACTCAAAATAAGGAAAAGTCCATTCAGGTGGTTAGAAATGCAGTGTCTGAATTTGCACAACTACTTCAAATACTTCTTTCAAGGTAGTAACAAAGATGTGCACAGGCACTATGGCTTTTTTCCATAGCCATAGGTCACCAGTCCCTTGGCAGAGAGCGACTCGGAAGGTCTTCCTGCAGTTCAGACATGGTGATCATTCAGAAACATAAATGCAATCTATTATAATTGAAAAATGGAAAGCTTTTGACAGAAGATCAAGTTTAAGAACAAGCAATGCTGTTTGATCTGTGTCTTCTCCTTTTCAGTCTTGTATTTCAGTCTATTTTTGTTTTCTTCCATGCAGCTAACAAGAAATAGACCCTTTTTAATAATATTACTGTAATATATAAATGCTCCTAGTTTTTATTAGGATCTTAAGTCCTTTCAAAATTATTAATTCCTCATCAGTTAAATGGATATACATTCAATTTATACACAAAATACTGACACAAAGATGGCTATAGGACAAAATGTAAAGTTTTTTCAAGTTACAGAAGTAACATTGCTTGCATGAGAAAAGAATGATTAAAAAAAAAATCTCGGCACAGAGCCTGTAGTAAAAAACGACTGACTAGTGAAGAGAGCCCGAGACAAACAGGCTTATGTGAATTGTTAATTCATAGAGAACTTTCTGTGAGTCTGTCTGCCTTCACTGAGCAAAATTATCAAAATGGGCTTACACCAATCATTCCCTGGGAATGCATACTGTCAGCTGGAATGCAAGTCTTGTATCTTTCTACTTCTGCTGATGGAAAAGTTCTGAATAAAAATGAGATTATTTTATTTATTGTTTACTTTAATTTAGGCACACGTGTTTTTTAAAGTCAAAGAGCTAGATTTATAGAACACAGATTGCCTTTTTGGTAAAAGGCTACCTTGAATGTAATTTCAAATATGATACCAAAATATTAAGCTCTGACTTAAATGATTAGTAGCAATATCTATGATAAAAACAGTTATGCTAGACTTAGATTGCCCAGACCTTGACTGAATTCTAATGAAAAACTAACCTTCATAACCAGTATGCCACTGAACTGAACACTACACATTAAAATACATACTAAGTATCACCCTACTGAGTACCTGCTTGTAAGCAAGTAACTTACTGGTATTTAAATAAAATAAGGTCAGTAATGGATAATTCAGAAATCGCCATTTGCAGTATTTTCTATATACAAACGGGATTTGTTTCCCTCTCCCATCCTTTGTTCATTTGATGAACAGGCAAGTAGCTAAGTAACAGAAGCAATCCCCTGTGATTTGAAGATCAAATAAAGCCACTAAAGTAGAATTTATCAATGATGTGACAGAACACTGAAAAATTTTCTTTAAACAGTCTCTGTGTAGATAATTCACTTCAAGGGTATATTTTGAATAATCCTAATGTGATCATACTAGTGAGGTCCATCACGTGTAAAATTCAGATCATTAAAGACTGCACAGTTTCTCCTGTTCTCATGAACAAGCTGGAAGAGGAAAAGACACCTTAAGTATAACAACATTCAAACTGAATTAAAAAAATGGTTGGGTTAATAATCACTGCCTTGCACACTCTACAGCCACAAGCCCCAGTCACAAGACTTCATTCTCTCTCACCAATTGTGTGGAAAAGTTTCTTGTCTGTTTCTTGAAGATGTACAAAGTCACTACATGAAATGAAATTTAAAATCAAAGCAAGTGGATCATTTTTATCTAACTGTAATTTCATACACAACTTGAGGTAGCAATTACTAAATAGAAACAGCGTAATATGTTTCACTTGTAATATATTGTACCATTTTGTTTCTATGAATAAATTTTCCAGAAAAAATATCTGCCTTATATATGTAAAAAAAAAAAAAAAAAGGAAAAAAAATTCAAAATGCAATGCCTGAGACACTACACTTTGGAGAAATGACAGTAACATTTCTGGAGTAACTACAAATACATCACCAATTACAAATGCTGAATTATCATTCTTACCTTGTTTGTAAAACTTCTGATTGCTCCGAATTATCTATAGACATGATGAAAAAGTTAATAAACCACATGACTGAATACTGGTACATTGGCTCAATGTTTTCCAGATCAGCAATAGTAAAAACAAGACTGATGAATGGATAGCAATAGGACGATAGCCCATACGAGTAGCACCAATCTTCTTTTCTGTCTCTTCAGCTGCAGCTTGCTTTTCAGAAATCTCCTTAGCCAGAACTTTGGAAGAAGACAGTATCTTGATAGCAGTTTCATCCTCCAAAATATTTCCCTCTGAGGCTGAAAGAACTTCTAAAATCTTGTCTTCTATTTCTTTTAGCTGCCTAAAATAATATACAGGATTTTTCACATAAGAAAGTTACAGCTGTTTTCTGTTAATTTCTATTAAAAAAAGACAATGTGTAGATTCTATTCATGGTAAGCAACTTACATACAAAACCTTTTTTTCTTATTAAATATTCCCTTAAATTTCTGAAAAATGTATCCACTTTCAGGCTGAAAACAAATGGCAAAAGGAGGAAGTGACAAACCACTTTGAATACTGCATATTTCATGCTTTGACCCATGGGGAAAGATGCCCTTTGCCACATACAACCAGTGCAAATCTAGCACTCAATGAAAACATTTCTGAAACACAGCCATTAATATCTAATCGAAATTTGTGAAGACAGCAAATCATATGCCAATAGCATGGAAGGGATGTAAAAAATGGAGGACAGGATCAAGAGTTACATTTTGAAATTATACAACCCGCAATTCAGCTCTTTAATAAGTTCTAACAATCCCAGAAATACGAAACCATATCGGAAGATGAAAGGCACAACCAGTAGGAATATAAATAAGAGCATACATCCAAATCAGCCTAAAAAACAAAGAGAAGCCTAAGTTTGGGCTCTCAAAAATAGCAGTCTTGAATTTACTGTTAAATAAAAAAAAAAAGAAGTCTCTGAAATGTATTTCCCATGATTGTTTTCCTTAAACTGCAATCTGCTTCTATTCCTAGCAAGGGAAGTTATCTTGCTACCTTTTATTCTCAGCCCCTTGAAGGATGAGGGCTTGTTTTTCTTCTTCAAGATCTGGCCTTTCTCTTGCACCTACAATTCCAAGAAGCTGATCCTGCATTCCTTCTGAAGTTATCCTGAAGTTCAGTAATGTTACCTGTCACAAGAAATATTTTTTGAAAGATAGCACAGTCACGGCCAGATGCAATTCAAATGCTGCTTCATTTACAAGATGAGGTTTATATGTAATATGCTCAACCAAACTTTGAAAGTAAATGAATCACAGCTGAGGGTTTAAGAGTATGTGTTAGAAAGCTAACTCCAGGATTAACCCAGAAAGTTAACCATAAAAGGGATGTGACAACAATGTATAGAATTTCATTCTGTTCCTCAAAATTACACTGAAATGTTCAATATCAGTGCTTTAAGTGATTGGTCCATATAACATGAACTAACACTCTTGCATGTAAGAGGAAGCTACCCATTTGATACCTGTATGCATCAAGCAGCCTTCCCAGAGAAAGAACCAAAACATTTCTATGAATGGAAGATTCAACTTAATGTACAGATTTTGTAAATAAATTTGGTATTGTTTGTTTTCCAGAATTGTTCCATCTGAACATCCCAGTGCAAATGGGATGCTGGCACAGTATTTTACAAAAATACAGATAAAGACCAGGTAGATCACATTTTATGGTCTTTAGAAATTTTTCACCCATAAAACTTTTGCTGCTTTTATAAAGTAAGTGGTAACATACATGCTGGAGTTATACTTCAAACTTTCATTGCCTCTGCCACATACGTTTTCTCTCTTTAATGGCCCTGTTCACGTGCAATTTGTGGTGTTATTATTACAGGGATATTTGTACCATAGAATTAGGGTAGCATCATGTTCTCTTTTTCATGAGAAAATAAGAAGTGACTGGAAAAAAATTATTGTTTGAAAGAATTCCCATCCCATGACATATTCTAATGGATCCAGAAAAACCCCACATGCTCTTGCTGAAGAAGTAGCAAAAATTACACTATTTTACATGAGAAAGTGAAGGAATACATTACCAGCAGAAGGCTAGAAAATAGTTTGATGCATGTAGTTCAAGAAAATAATCAATTTGTCAATCATGAAGACAGATGAAAGTATTTGGTTTAATTAATTGACTAGGTAATAGTGAATACAGATTCTCTTTGGGCATTTTTGGTGGGAACAGATACCAGTGACACGTGTTTCAAAAGAACATTCACCTTGAACATAGTGATCAGTTAGAATACGGAATACCTGTGAATTTGATTTGTCTGCTACTGCCACTAATAATATTTGAAAGTTTTCCAAATATTTGAGGCTTTTTTTCCATGGGTTTTGCTTGTAAAGTTAGGAGGGGTAGTATTTTAACTTTCTTAAAATACATCACTAAAAGTTTTTTGTTATAGTAAGACTCAACTGAAAAAAATTTAAGAGCACAGATAGCATATCACACTGTTCTTTCACACAGGAATTTTGAGAGGAGGTTCAGTTTATCTGACACTAAGAATTAATAAGATCTTCAGAAGCATCATGGCCTATTTCTTCCTCACCTTATTTAACAATTTTAGTAATGGGAAATATAAGCAGGACCTAATGGTTCAAAACTTCAGGAGTCTTCTATAGGCTCCATTTCCCTTCTTCAAAGTAAAAGGCTAGCTACAAACAGCATTATGAGTTAGCTTTCAATCAGAGCTGCCACGCTCTGAAAGGTAGGCTGAAAGAACCTCTGAGGTCTAAGTGCAAGCTGCTGTCTACATTCTACATTTCTTCTTGGTCCCTGAGGGACAGAATGATATTCTTTATGGACATCAATAAGTCACCTTTCCCTCATCAGTGTTGAAAATTATCTGAATTTTTTTTTAGTGGTTTTAACTACATTTAATTAATAATCTTAGAAACACAAAAAAGCTGCCCCAAATGGGGAACAACGTACTGTTCCGTTTTACTGAATATCATAATAGTTTAAAAAGTTTTGATTTCAAGATTTTGTGTTTCAGCATAGTCTATGTTTAACCAAAGCGTAAATTTGCAATACTTTTCCATAAACAGTTCTTCAAAAATAATAATAAATAAAATGGAGAATACAAACTTCAAAAAGACTAAACCACCAATTCTATTCTTTAAAGCAGAAAAGCACCTGGGTTTTTGTCCTAATATAGAAAAAGAAGAATAGCTATATTTATCAAATATATAAATCTGTAAATACAGTTTCTATCTGTTGTAAACAAGGCATGATGTCAGAAATTGCTCAGACTCCTGTCCCTAACTATGCTACAGATAAAAAATCATTAATATGAAAGCCTAATGTAGAGTTTGCATGTGAGGTGACTATTATATTAAGTCCTTGTAAATATTTTTGTAATAAAAGGTGACTAAATAGCATCAGGAGATGCAGACTGGGAAAGGTGATAAAATTAATTAAATAAATTCCTGACAGTATGAAATAATGACAGTATTGCAAGGTGAAGTATTAGATATGAGAAACGTCAACACTTCTAAGATGATACCAGTCTTGCAGCAGTATAAAAAAAAAACCCAATGTTGGCAGGGGAGGAGAAATTCTTCCCTAGTTTTAGCCAAGAAATCATTGTAAAATTAAAATAGAGTTGCACATTCATTTTCAAAATTCTCACCTTAACAGATGTTTCAGGAAGATAATGTGGATTTCTCAGCTTAGTTGTAATACAAAAGCAGAATTCAGGAGCATATTCGATAGTGGAGTGTCCAAAGCAAATGCATATACTCCCTGACTGCTTAAATGTCTGAGCAAATGTGGCTTTAGGATAGGATCAAGTTCTTCTCCAATGTTCTCCAGTAACACTTCAAAATAACATTAAGAATTAGCAGGACTTGCTTGGCACTTATTACCAATTGGCTGTTCTTTACAATACATATGTATAATGTGTATTTACAGTGTGCAAACAATGAAAATATTAATCAAGCAATATCTAGAGATAAGGTTAATGTTTCTTCAAGTATTCAGCTGATTGAAAAATGAATTGAAGAAATGTACCTTCAGTGCCTTTTTCTAATATTATATCAATTTGCAAAAAAGCAACTAAAATGCTATCACTATTACTACTGCCAATGGCTTAGAACAACAGTTTAAGGCTACCATTTTTAAAAAGGGAAATGACAACAAATTAAATGCCACATTGCACAGAAATAATTTTGGCTTACTAAGTCTGCTTCAATTTTCACTGTAACTATATGAGATTGTCAAAATAAAGAAAGAAATAATGGAGAATAAACAATGCATCTCTTGTAGTGCAGTTAGCCATTGAAAAATAGCTGGACTTGTAACAAAGTGTTTCTTTAATTTATTTCTATTTGAGGGTAAAAAGACTACTTGCAATAAAGACACTACAGAGAATGTAAGAATCATTGATGATCGCAGCCCAGTATTTATATTCTTGAAAAGCCAAATAAAAAACGTTACTTTTTAGAAATAAAATTATTGTAACATGAAAACAAAGAAATGGCAAATCTCATAAAGCAATTAAAAGATACAAATTAAACTGACTATTATGTTGTGCTAAGAAGTATCTTATAACCTGAGATGAGGACTTCAATTACTATAGAACTAATTCAAAACAAGTAAAAAATGTCTCTGTTTTCCTTAACTGTGAGAACATTTGATACTCACTGGAGTTTCATTTATTAGCTAATTGTGCCCCCTCCAGGTTCTTCTGTAATTTACAGTTTCATTAGTCATTAACCTACCAGGACTGCCAAACTGAATGCAGTGTTCCAGTGTTACAACAAATTGAGGGTCACTGAGTTTGATTATATGCAAGCTACTGGCTTTTTCCATGCTCTTTATCCATTTATTTGCTTGACCCTGAGGATCTATCATTAGAGGCCATCTTCTTGCATTACTGAAGGGAAAAATACAAACTTTCAAAATTGAAATAAAAGCTATTCAAATTTTTACCTCAAAGTACTTCTTAAAGCACTTTATTCCCTTTTGTCATTAAAACAAAAGTGTGTCAGCATAAAATCATAGTAGGCACATCTCAGGTATAATCCTTGATGAATTTAAGAGGAGACAGATAAATCTTAAAAGTTCTTTGTTTACAAAAAAATAATTTTCCTCTTTCAAAGAAAGTACTTCGATTTCTTTCTTCCTAGGAAGTTTCATTGCATTTAATTTTATAACACTTTCAAAATAAAAAGATGACTCTAAGTTTTGAAACTTTGAACAGCTTTAATACAGTGCTTCAGTGAGCATTGTCAAGTGACACCAAATGCAATTTTCCACTAAAGAGACATTTTACAGTTAGTATAAAGGGAAATACATAAGCAGATACAAAGCTATCTGCCTTTAAATCCCTAATCCTTAAGAAGCAATGGACATGAAGAACTTCTGGATTTTATTTTTGGCAGACTTAGAAACTACTTCACAGATTCTTTTACAGTATTCTCTACCACATGCAGTTACATTAGGAAGATATCTAAGACTAGTGACACTTTCTAATGGTCAATTACAATTACAGCAACAATCACCTAAATTACAAACCATCTAAGCATGCAGAAGTGAGAATTCCAAAATAAATGCAGTCCTAAAAATTTGGATCAAGGGGCCCAGTCAGATCGTAGCTGATTAGGAGATACAATATAGTCTACTACTGGAACAAAAAGAACAGCAATACCATTTTTTCCAGATTCAGCATAAAAATAAATCTTTCAGGCTACTTTGATGGCCTCTATCATTATTACAAGTTAGCTTATGCACAATGACACTGGCAAATTATTTATCATTAATTTTTTTTTTAATTGAAGCAATATATCTTGAAAAATCCTGATTCACAAATAAAACTTGTAGACCTGTAAAACCTGACATGTAAACCTGTCTGCATCTGTATTCTTATTTTCCTTAAAAATACTTAGATGAAATGTATTCAATTAAGTAAAGCATAATCTAATTTTTTGGTTGATGTTCAAATAACATTCTCTTAGAAACAGTGATGTTTTATGAAAGGTTTCCGTAAATTGTCAACAGAAAGCGACAAGCCTTGAATTAGAAAAAGGTACAGAGCAAGCAGGTGTACATAGAGTGCAAGTTCTAAAAGACAATGCTCAGACAAACTTAGTGCAATGTTAGTTTCAAAAGTGCTGACAGGCGAAACTGCGTAACACATTCTAAACCTTGATCTTCATTCAAGAGAGTCATTTTAAAACAGGTAAAGGACAGTTTAAGAGAGAGGAATCCTTTATATTCTCTGTCATAATTTCTATTCCACAAACTTCTTGTTAAGGACTAAGTGTAGTCGTAAGGCCTATTTATACATGTGTAAATATAACAACACACATAATATGCATGTAACCCTTAACCCAAGGGTTCAGCTCTCTGTGACTCAGGCACAGTTCTGTGAAGCGCAGCTGTGTGACTCTGGATTATCACTACTGGAAAAAAAACTTTTTTTTTTTAAGGTGTGAGAGACTAGATAAGCAAAACTATGTAAGATAAAAGAAGTGAAAACAAAGCTGAAAGGAGAGCTGGTTGCTTCATTTTTTTGCAACTGATGTCAAATCTGGCAGCTCAGCAAGATCAAGAACCAGCCCTTTCCAAGATGTAACAAAGGCCAACATTTCCTCACCTCAGTGTTAGCCTTCTGGCTAGCACAAACTTATAAAGTTTTCTTGATGCAGTTATGAGCAAATTAATGTTTAGCTTTGTAGTGTTACTCCTAACTATCACGTATGTGTATTAGTGAAAAAATAATTCTGTACTCAGAAATCATGACTGATCCTGGTTGCGGAATCCCTGCACAGTAAAATATGCCCAAATAAATGTGAACCCTCAGAAGATGGAATATATATGGAGGTAGGGAGCACAAGTACCTTAGGTTCTTTGGACTGAAAATGGAGATTGTGAAAGCAAGATAGCAGAAGTTTAGGAACAAAAGTTTTGGAAGAGAAATGTATCATGTGTGGCAGTATTGTGAGATTATACATGGGATGCTACAGAGGTTCCTTCTGTGTTATGTATCACAAACTGGACTTGGGAGTGACCACTCACCAGCTGGAGGAGGATAGAATGATTTAGGAAAATGAGTCATCTGGAAGGGACCCTGCCCAGCCTACCCATGAAGGAAGAAAGTTTTCACAGGTAAAATGAATTGAGAGATTCAGGAAATGTGTTTGTAATCCACCAGGACAGCATGATATCTAAGCAGACATTAAGAGAGTTAAAATGTGGGCTTTGTAAAGTTAGAAGTATTTTGAATAATTTGATAAACACAGATAAGTGCAAATTTGGTAACACAGTAGGTCTAGAGAAGCAAACAGGATTTGAAATCTGAACAACTGTCAGATGAGGCAGTAGCATCAGCAGTATTAGAAGACAGTCTCAGAGTAAGTAACAGTGTTCACCAATGGATCCAAAGTGTACTGAAAGAATTGCTGAGCTCCCAAAGTTCAGTTGCTAATGCGAACCCAAAGGGAGACCCAAGGGATATGTAGCCAGGTGATTTTAAGAGTAAGATGATACAAGGTGATACAGCAATTGCAGCCTGTAATCTGAACACAGTAAACTCACATGTTACGCACATTCTAAACCAGACCATATTTATGCAATTTGCTTATAATAATTTTACTTGTTCTTATTTTAAAATAGGAATTTAAGATTTGAAAAAACGTCAGCCAAAACCTACAGTATGTACTTCTTTCCCT